CTTAGGGTAAATTTGGAGTTCAACCTTCAGTCAGTGCAGCTTCCAGCTCTCAATTCTGCTTCCAGAGCTATCTAGTACTGTGGTAGGTACTTCTTAGGATGGAAGTAGTTATAGTCTCCTTCAGTTCTGACTTCGTAGTAGGGAACCTCCTTTACCAGTCCGTTACAACCCTCTTTGGTTAACAAGGATCCTCGAGTCCGGTATCGTCGTAGAGTGCATGCAGAAATATACGAGGAATCAGAGTTTTGTCGACAATGTGATTAAAGGGACGAAGGATATCCTTTGAACCGCTTGGTTAGCTTTGTGTTCTGATTTTTAAAATGTTGAAAAAGGTAAAAAAGTTAATATTGAAAACTGAAAAGTTAGATTTGAAAATTTGAAACTTATCAAATTCAGAAAAGTAATGGATGCAATTTGACTACAATGGAAAAATTGTGTTGAGAAATTGATTTTAAATTATTAAATTGGAAAAGGAAAAAATAATTATATTAATAATCCGTTATTCAACCAAAAGATGAGTTATTTGAATGAATCAAAATTTTGAGATATCCTGGTATATTGATATATTATATAAAAAAAATCAGTGAAAATTTGACTTTTCTAATGGAAATGGAAACGGAAATGGAAAAAGCAATCAAAGAAATTACTGATTATGAATATTAAATGAAGGTGGCAAATCCTTCAACTAAAATGCCAATAAACTACTTTCTAGTAAAAGTAAAAATTTGTATATTTATATACAGGGTGGCAAGTCCTGATTCAAAAGTAAAATGCCAGATAATAGGTAATTTTTCAAGTTCGAAGTTGACAGGTAATTTACTTGTCCGTGAAAGTACAAGAAAAGGTATATATATATATATACAGGGTGGCAAGTCCTGTTCAAAAGTTGAATGCCAGATAGTAGGTAAATACTCCAGGTGTGAAGTTGACAGGTCTGGAATTAAGATATGGTATCTCTGGAGATAAGGAAATAGACATGCATTGACATGTGGTTTGTTGAGTTGACCAAGGAAAATACTGACAGTAAGATAGAGAGAAAAATCTCACTTCCAGAAAACTTGAACTATAGATTGTGCTTTCGTCACAAGAAGGCAAAACCTATACAGGAACCAGACAAAGGTTGACTGAACAGGCTATAGAGAGAAGGAAACCTTCCTCAGGTTGCATTTATTTCTCAGAGAGAAAGAAAAATAACTTGGAAATAAATTCTCAAGATAATAACAGAAATTAAATGCTCACCTGAGAAAGAATCCTGGAGAAGTACAGCCTGAACGTCAAAGTCCAACTTCGAGGCTCTAGGTCCTGTAGGTTCAAGGTTCCTGGACGAGACACAGAGTAGACTTCAGTTCAGGTTTCCTGGATGAACATCTGAGGAAACTACGATGACGTTTCGAATTTCCAATAGGTACCTAGAAACATTTTTGAAAGAGTAGATACTGTTTTCAACTTATTGAATGAGGAAAAAATTAGCAACAAAGCTGATGTTGATAGCAACAATTTATAAAAAGCAAATTTAAGCGGCAAGGCAGGTGATACTTAACCTTTCACTAAAAAATAATTGTATATGATTTATTATATTATAAATCTGCAATTTTACAAAAATATTGTTATCAAGTGCTAAGAAAATATAGAAAGAACCCAAATATCCAATAAATTGATACCGATGACCAATTATTAACTAAGAAACCATCAGATATGAATGGTAACCTCAATTAAATCGAATGCAATTATTTCTCACAAAAATGAAATTCGATCAAAAATATATCAATTAATATTTAATTCCATAGGTAATGATCAAATCTAACAAACCAAATGTCTGCGATGACAAGTTATTTCATCAGAAAAATAAAGATAGATCCAGACCTACCAGATATCTTCAATTCACACAACCTATCACTTCAACCTTTCAAGTCGGTAGTTCAAATCAGAAGAACTTTGATTTTCCTATTCGTTCTTCGCGAAAGATCCTGTCCTATCAATCCCTTCTCCTGATTGGTTATTCAGTCTCCCTTCTTCGATCTTCTGTGACGCTGTCTAGCGGGAAGGACGAGCGCGCAAGACTTGATAAATTCGATATGGTTATTGAACCGGTGAAGGGCTGATAAGCGGAAGTAGATAGAAGAACGAATGGACGTCAGATAATTAAATGATTGATTAATTGAAAACATCTCAATGGAACGGAATAATCGTTACAGTGTCGTATTTCACACAATTCACTAATCAATTTCTTTCACATTTTACTTTCAGTATGAAAAATGGTAAGTTTATTGGCCTGTAGAAGAATTTAATTTTCTTTCTCTATGGAATGAAGTTTTGCCTCTCAAATCAGATGTCTGCAGCACAGTTAAAAGAATATACAAACTGTGTCTGCAGTATGACTCACTTCAAATGAAACCGTGCCTCCTATAAACCCTAAATTATTTATTATTTTCCGTTATTTTCCAACAAATTCCATGTTGAAGGCACATAATTTTTGGCTCAGTGAATGGGCGTGTACACCTTAGTAGAACTTTCAACTCAAACCATATTTATAATGATCCTTTTATATACATAAATAATGATTGACGACATAATTCGATGGAAAAATTAACTGGAATGTTTTATTTTTGTACATAAATAATAGTACCTTCTGAAAACGGACACTCTTATGACGTAGAAACCTCATCTCGCCATAGTTAAAAAAAAATACAAAACGCCCGACGGAGACTGAGGCAACTTATATATTAATTCTTTCAACTGTGATCTCGCGCTAATTCACTCTGTCAGAAATCCTGTATCATTCATATCTGTCTGGAATAGTCTCACAGCAAGAAACGGTTTGCGGTGGTGAGCTAGTTTGAGTGAGTTCTATTGAATTATGAAATAAATTTTTTTTCGTGATATAAGCCCATTATCAGAGCAGGTTCCATTTCAAATGTTTTATATGGTGAAAGATTTATTTATAATTTCAATCAAATTGATTCCTCATTTAGTATTATATAAAGACTCAAATAAACTACTTACAGAATCACATTCAAATGCCGTGTAGGAAAAATACCATTCCATTCCCAAAGTACACCTTCTACACCAAATCCAGTAAATCCAAAATTTGTACTATTGAGATTGGGGCTAATGGTTTTATTTGGAAGTACTCAAAATTTTACACATGTCTTATAGGTAGGTACACAACAACTGATAGCTTATTGTTATTCTATTATAAAATATCATTATTTGATTTCTGCATTTCAGCAGTAAAAAAATGCAGGTCAGCAATTTTCAATGTTTGTCTCAATTGAATTACTTTGTGACTTGCTGAGGCTACTACCATACTACTACTTATGTTGAATAATAATTTGTTTCCTATCATATCAGTTTTTTTAAATTTATCTTATAAAAACTCATCATAAAATCATTTTCATTTCAAATATCTAGAATCAACCAATTACCTTAAAATGAATCAGGCTTCATTTATTAAGTCCATATTATATTCACAAAGTATTTCACTGTGCTATATTTTCAAAGGGAAGAAAATAAGTTGTATATTTCTGATAATGAAAAGAAACAAAACAAGAATTGATGGAAGGATGAAAAAAAAACTCCTAATTCAAATTTAGGTTTTTTTGAGCAAGAGACTGCAGATATGGGATGCAAGTCAAATGGTGCTACCTATTGTTAACATCATTTGAATATGGGGAATGGAATGATTTGAAAAATTAACAATGAATGAAATACCCAATTCCTCTTAATTTTTATCAAATTTTTCTCTTCATATACAGAGAAGTACACAAAACGGCCATTGCTGTAATTTATGAATTATTTGAGTTTGGATTTTGAAATATGTTGGGCAACTAGCAAGTATACCAAATTGCTTATTCATCAACAAACAAATATTTGTTTTATCACTTCCGGTTCAACCGGAAGCAACCCCAACTTTTGATTTTTGAATAAGACATTTACACTCACTAGGAACTTTTTTTGATCAAAATATACAGGGTGTCCTATTTAAAAATCAAAAGTTGGGATTGTTTCTGGTTGAACCAGAAATTATGAAATATTTGTTTTTCCAATAAAAGGCAATTTGATGTACTTGCTACCCACCAAATTTCGAAATTCGTCCAGGAATGAAATCACAGCACTGGCTGTTTTTGTGCAGTTCTGTACTACAGAAAGATTTTGAAATTTGATGTGTAGCAATTGTACCAAATTGCCTTTCATTGGCAAACAATTTTTATTTTTACTGGAAGTGATGAAAAACTTTTTTGTTGATAAATGAGCAATTTGGTATATGTGTTACCCACCAAATTTCAAAATCCAAAGTTATACCACTGGGTATTTTTTTGTGCACTTCTCTCTATATCTTCAATATACACACTGAGGAGTTTGCTGAGAATATTCTGAATGAAGCTATGGAAATTTATAAGATTTTTGATGTAAATATAGGTAGATATGTAATTCTACAAAGATCATTTATAATTATCTCACATTTTATGGATTTATTTTTTGTAGTCAAACAAAAAAATTACAAATTTCTTCAAAATATACTGAAAATGTCATCATGTGCTATAAAATAGCAACATATAGTTTTAGCATTATGTGGATATATACAGGGTGTCCCTAAAATGGCTGTACAAGGACCTACCTCATATTGCTCTGACAAAAACAATTATTTTGACATACTCATTACATAAAACAACAAAAAATAGCACTGATCAATATGCTTGGTCTGTTTTGGTCTGTGGTAGGTTTTTGTAGAGACCTTCAGAGACACCCTGTGTGTATTGGTGTGTACATAGATGTGTATATTGAACTCTGTTGTTGATTTCATATGATTGAACCGAAAGCCTCAAAAAACACCTAGCTCAAGACATGTTTTCTATTTTTTCAATTGAAGAGTTTTATATTCCATTATTTTCATTCATATTTGTATGGTGGATCTGGACTGAATATAATATACTCATCAGATATGTATATGGATATTTGTGATCTCATTACTTGTTCATATATAATGACTCACGACTCACATTTGTGGTAGACACTAGGGAAATTTCCAATGTGGGCAAAGATAACTCTTGGGCAACTTTGAAAACAAGAGGAGGAGTTTGAAAATTCAGTTCCTCACTCATATCTTGGTGCCACCCAAATCCTACTACATCCCCATGTTTCAGCTGTTTCAACTCCATGGGCTTGATTTTCTCCCCATTGATGAACGTCCCATTGCTACTCTAAAAGGTCAGTTAGCACTTAGGGATAGTAGCATAGTAGATGCATGTTACACATGATTAGTCTTTAGGTACTTACTTTGTTGTCTGTAACATACAAAAGCCCATCAATTAGAACTGATAGTGTTGCATGGTTCCTGGAAACTTCCCTATGATCTGTGATCAAGTCAGCTTGAGTATTTCGACCAACTTTGAATACGGATTTATTTATGATAATAACCACTTCATTTGCAACGTTTTTCAAATTCCAATTATTTACCGTCATCTTTTCCTTTTCAAAAAATTCTTTGTGCAGATACTACAGATATTTTATAAGATGGCGACCTGCAAGTGCAAGAAGCAGATATCATTTCATATTGTATGAAGTTTATTTCAACTTGGAGACAGCTTGCTCTATAGTTGTCTATGCTTGGAGAAATGAATCAAATAGGTTTCAAATAGAAACGTTAAATTGATAAATCTTCAGCTTCAGATCATCAATCAGATTCATAACATAACATACGCGCGAAAAAATGAAAAAATCTGACATTTTGACTTCTGACAAGGTGAGGCGACAATGACAACTAACAAGAGTAAACAGAGTGCGTTCGGTTTAACAAAATCGGAGCCGAGCGAGCAGATGCAGATTTGGTGTCACGTGATTACCTGAGGTAGTAGATTACGATCGCCACCTGACAGAAGTAACAGAAAACAGAAACAATGGGCTTATATCACAAAAAAAAATTATTTCATAATTCGATAGAACTCACCCAAACTAGCTCACCACCGCAAACCGTTTCTTGCTGTGAGCTCCCTACGTTTTATAAAAAATTATTGAAATCCCCGATTTTCCGGACCTCTGAAAACGAGGCGATGATGTGACGTCAAAACCCTAATACTGAAACAAGACTATTCCAGACAGAGATGAATGATACATGATTTCTGACAAATCAATTCTAACCTAGATTGACTTTTTGCAGCTCCATGTGAAGCGGGTCAACAAAGCAATGTTGCTATGTTTATGAAATATATTGGATTATTGTGAAATTGTAATGGTGCAAATGGTTTTGAGATTGAGACATTTCGTTGTCTAGAGATTGTTTATACTCCAATGATTCAACCTACAATCGACAACTCGAATATATTTTTCTGCAGTAGTGGTAGTGGATATCAAAAGATATTTCAATATCGATTTCGATTTCTCGGATATTTTGTTTGGATGATATGGCAACAGTAATAAGTGTCAGGAGAGTGTCAGTTTCAACCATATATCTACTATTTCTATATATGGCGCATGGCCTATACGATATCTCAACAAAAATGGGACCAAAATGAGAGGTACTATTTGAATCTATGAGAACGAAAAGTGAAGGATGGAAACAGCCATATTGGTTTGACAAATTTCCTATTATTTTTTCCCTACGTCGGTGTCAACGCCTATTGGTCGATTTCATTACCTATAGAGACAGAAATGGGTCCCGCTTTGAGGAGAGCTATGATTCATATATCAGTAGTAGATATATATGGTTTATATATATATATATGGCGAGATGGGGTTTCTACGTCATGAGAGGGTCTCCGTTTTCAGAAGGTACTATCATTTATGTCCAAAAATAAAACATTCCAGTTAATTTTTCGATCGAATGATGTCGTCAATCATTATTTATGTATAAAAGGATCATTATAAACATGGTTTGAGTTAAAAGTTCTACTAAGGTGTACACGCCCATTCACTTAACCTTATTACTTTTAAAAACACGTCAGGGCAACAAAGTTCTTTTGAATGTTTGGTTTGTTGTTCACTTGGATTTATATTTTGAAAATTACTAGGGAAGGAATAAGTCTTATATGATCGGTCATTAACTGTGGATCAGGGCAGTTGTGATCGCATATATTACAGATATATAATATCCACTACAGAGTACAGACAGAACCAACAGCCAAAACTAAAATCTGCCGTTTGTTAATGGTTCAATAATCAGATGCTCTCTTTTGTCATTTTCAATATTTTTATGGTTGAACCATTGTCGTTCTGGATGACAACATAGTTAGGTAGTTAGTAGGCAGGAGCTATTATACCTCCTCGCACTAGGTCGCCTACTAGGTTTAGATCGACAATGGTTGAACGAAACAAAAAAACAGTCGTTTTCATGCCTCAAAAACAGAACAGTAGAACGGAGACAGAAACATTAGATCTACTGTAAAACCAGTAGATCTGTCAGCGCTGGGTACTGCCGCTGTCCCTCACAGAAAAGGGTGCGTTTTTCATTCCAATATTTTGTCATGCGCATGAATCAAAGAATCCATCACTGTTGCAAAATTCCGCTAGAATGTTGATGGAAATCCATCGAACTGTTGTAATAAAATGCGCACTTTCAAATCGCTTGAGATTCTTGACAGATTTCAGAAGAAATCAATAGAATCCATATGAAACCGTATCAGCCTCTTCTGATTATGAAGAAACATGACATCATGACTGACTGATACCACAGAATACCAAAGAATATCCATCCGTTCCAGCATAAATTCCATCAGAACAATTGGTGACGTCACGATCTATCAGTGCGCACTTTCTTCGATGGAATGAAAAACACGCCCGAACTCGTTCTCTGCTGCCACTACAGAATTTCATGTAGGCGATTCAGATTCGTTAGAAGCAGGCCAGCAGTGAATAGCGCTATCACTTAGTGCACCTGAGATGTTTATAATAGTCTCTAGGCATCTCAAGTGCACCAAATGATCGATCGATGACTGAATGAAAAATATGGATTTTTCAGACAAGTTGCATCTATTGAGGATAAAACAGTTACTCAAAATTAAAACTAGGTTTATTGATTTAATACAATATAAAAAAAATAGATCACAAGAAAAATAAAAACTAACACACTAGAACGCATAACGAGTTCTGATATCTTCCAGTTTCTTAGAAACCTCTGCGGACGTTCTATCCAAATCGCCGGCAATACTTTTTTGTTTGGATGGTTCCAAAGAGTTGTATTGTTCGCACATGTCACCGTCGATAACATTCTGAAACAATCAATTCACCTGATAAATAATATATGAAAATAAACAGTTTCTCTATTGATAAGGGATTCAACATCAGATGTAGGTAGAGTAAAATCATACTATTTCATAAGTCTAGCATGTGAATTGAATTATCATCATATTTGAATATATTATTATAGAGATGACTATTAAAAACAGCCGGGGATTCAGTTTTTTATATCATTTGGCAGACAGTTGAATAAACGGCAGCCTGCATTGGTTGGAGATTTTTTGTAATCGGAGTGTTAAGGCTTGTTCACTTTAATATTATTCTTATTTCCAGTGTTGTATGAATGTGATTCACTATTAATAGGATATTAATGTTAAAAGTTTCATCAAATAAATTGATGTTACTGTAAGGATCCGTTTTGTTTAAAGACCTGTCTACATGACTGGCGACTACTTATGTTAAAAATGGGCCTTATGATTCGTTCTTATATTTTAATATTTCTCACTGTTGCCAAAATGTTGAAAGCTTTTGTTGATTTTTTTACAAACCATTTATATTTGATCCTCCCATGTCAAGTTCATTTATACAAATACAGTTCACTATCTATCAAGCATAGAACATATTGGTCCTTCATGCCGGATCTATACAAATCAAACTATCAAGACTGCCAAGTTATTCACAAAGGATACAGAGCATCACTCAACTGCCTGGATTAACAACAAGCGAACATAAACTGTCCTCTTTCTGAATTTGAGCTACAGCAAAGCCTGGCCAAGGTGAAATGAATATGCTCCCAACCGTGAAAAATACTAACCATCAAGTTAATGTTTGTCATGGTCGAGTTCACATGTTAATCTTAAAATTTATATAACTAAACTAAATAGAGGGCCATATGGAATAGGTCCATCATCCTTATTCATTACTCTATTACTATTCTTGAATATTTCTAAGCTTTCATATGCGTCTAATTTCCTAATATTATCAACTTGCTCAACTAATTTGAGTTCAGTAATATGTGTGTTATGATTGTGATTGAACATATGTTCGGCTAGACACGATTTATCTGACCTACCATATTTTAAATGTGCTATGTGTTCTTTGAACCTTGTTTTTAAGAGGCGCCTGGTTTGGCCTATATATGTTTTATCAAAATCAATACAACTTATTTCGTATATTCCCGACTTTTCAAGTGTGTCCACTTTGTCTTTCGGATTGCCTAATAAATTAGCCTGGGGCTAAAAGAACTAATGACCAATCAACCAACCCACCTTGACGGGAAAATAGTAGCTCCTGTAGGACAGGTGGTCCCTGCCGCACAAGGGCGCGTTCTCGCTGCGCATGTGCATCTCGAGGTGCTGGAAAAAGTCGTGGTCCTCGTGCGAGGTGAACGGCACCAGGACGCCGACCGTGCCCGAGAGCGTCGTGTAGATGAGCGACTCGGAACCGCCCGGGATGAGGGTGGCCTTTTGCAGCCACGTGACCGTCTCGCCGACGTGGAACGTCGATATGGTGTCGGTCTTTTGCGACGCTCCGTTCAGCAGACCTCGGTCCCACAGGGCCTGGAACGTCGAAGTTGAAATTTGATATTTCGATATATGACGTTGTGACATTGGACATGTCACTGTGAAAAAAATACAAACGGTGAAAAAACTCCTAAAACTACAGTTAGAATTTGAGAATTTTGTCTTCTGAAGAAGCAGCTGTGTTAGCAGAACGTTGTGGTTGTAGGAATTTGGATGTTTGTGAAGATTTTCTTAGTTACTACAGATGTTTATCAAACAATAACTCAAAAAACTGAAAATATTTCATGAATTTATAATTCAATAATTGTATCTTCACTGGGAAAACCAGATAACTTGAATATGTGCAACTGGTACTATGAAGGAGAACGATTATATTGGACATTTTCTTTTGGTAACTTGAATTGACAATCAAGAAACAAAATGGGAACGTCCTTATTTTTTTATTTATCGACAATATTATGAATTTATTCTCGGAAATTACACTGATCCTGATTATTCAATTTCAAATATACAAATTTTCATTAACAGAACTTTGAGTAATACATATTGGAAAACAAATACATCAGTGTCAGGATTATTTCAACAGTCAAACCGACACTCTTTGTAATTATGCAACAAGTTTTTGAGGTATATCCCGGATATTGAAGTACTTATAGTATAACTACTGAAAATATGATGATTGAAATATATACAGTGACAATTTGAAAACGAGCAGCACTGACACTATAGAAATTTGGCGAAACACATCACTGAGAACGAATCCCCCCCCGCAAAACAGAGCATTTTTATTTATAAAAGGAGCTGCAATTTCTTTTTCGTCCAATTAAATTCAGCTATATTCGAAATTCTTGTGTTTTCTAGATTAAGTTACATCTTTTTCTCCTCAAAATGGCAGTACTTACACTCACGAACTTTTGGATTGTAACTTACATCATGATAATAACATACAGACCTACAAATTACTTCATGAATTGTTCAAAATGGTTTCCATTGTTTTGTAAGCACAAGTGCAGCCAATATCTAAATTGTTCACAGACCTTTTGGAAGGTCTCTGAAATATCGCCTGTAGTTGTGCTCACAAAACCATGGAGTACATTTTGAACAATTCATAAAGACCTTTTGGAAGGTCTCTGAAATCTCCATAAAGTAATTAGTCAGGTATGTATGTCAGCAAACAATTTCGAATAAGTGTTTTAGGCGACTTTAGGCGTTACCACCGATACAACAAGGCCAGCAGACGTAAACAGCTCGTGACGTCACCAAGAGAGGCCAGTGTTTTATTTTACCGCTTGTCGACTAACGCGTCAGTTCGTGTTAATTCATCGGTGATTCACGTATGTTTTTGAAACGGTCCCGAATTCTTTTGTTGATTATTCATCAAAATAATTGGCGGAAAAAATACTGTTTTGTGAAAAATTTTGTGTTGTGATCGGCGAAATAACAATGCCTTTCAAGTGTTGTGTTCCCTTTTGTCGGGGGAATTATGTGGGTGGTTCAAAAGTTCATGCTTTTAGTTTCCCGTTGGACGAGGAGCTATCGAAAATGTGGGTATATGCAATTCACCGCGAGGATTTTACTCCATCTAAGTTCAGTAGTAAACAGAGCTCAATTTATAATGATGAATTAATAATAGAAGACGGAAAAATAGAAAAGCTTTGATTGTGCAGTTAGTTTTGTATTCGTATATTATAGTCAACAAAATCATCTCTGAATTCGAGGAAATTTTCTTGAATGTTCATAATAAACGGGCATTTTTAATTCTCATTCTCAAATTTCTTTCTGAAAACGGTCATTTGCCTCGTGGCAATGAATGCAGAATTCATTCCAATGATCAAATTGCAACTCTCATATTAACATGAACACTCTACTTAAAAAGGTAAAACTGCATTTATCATGAAGATATTTGACTAAAAAGTTCCAAATTTCACATTCTTTTTCACCTGTCTTCTGGATGGCATTTAGAACAAATTTCCCTTATTTTTTCATCATATTGGACAATTTATATATAATTCAACTATAAATATGATTTTCTTGAGATTAATCCATATTTAGTGAAAAGAAGGAAGAATATCATTCAAAATAATGGCGTGCGTAATGTCATTCGAAAGCAATCTATTGACATTTGACATCTCGTATTTTGATTGACTATTGATTAAATGGTCGTCATCTGGAATGCTTGTTCACTAAATATGAAAAACTCGCCATAAAAATCATATTTCCTGTTGAATTTTCTATATAAAAATGTGCCATCGAAGTACATCATGAGTATATAAAGTGTCCAATAACAAAATAAGAGCAAGTAGCTTCAAATGCCCCCAACACAAGGGGAGAAAGAAGGCGAAATTTCGAACTTTTTCTTGGAATATCTCAATAAATAGTGGTTTGTTCACATTTTCATTATGAAATTCGGTTTATCAGACAAAAATATTTGAGTATCGTAAAAACATTTCAAAAAAAAACATTGCATGATAAATGCAGTTTTACCCTTAAAAATTACGGTTACAAGTGTAACGATCCACTTGGGTGAAAAATCCAACAACAGAAAATTGAAAACACTCACTGGTTATTTTTTCAGGTAATAGGAATTCTCTAGGATAAATATAGGTAATTGTAACAAACGGCATGTCAATAAAAAAAAAAACATTTTCCACAATTTTCTTTCGATCAATCTCACGAAGTTTATGTTCTGCGGGCCCTGTATAAGTAGGTGTGAAGTTTACCTTCACCACAATTTTTGCCAATATATTTAATTCGAATGGGTTGCTGTAGGTGGATATTTGCGTTTTATCCTGGTTTTTGCTTTAAAACTTCGTTTTTCCATAATAAAATCGAATGGGGTGCGAAGAAGGGCTCAGTTGACGACTGGCATCCTTCTTTAACCGGAAGCCCTTCAAAAAACAGCAAAATCGGCTCAATGATCTAAAACTAAAATCGAAATATGCGGTCGCCTTATAGCGCTATAAGCGCTTGTCGTTTCGAGCCGCTGGTTAGGCCTGACTAAGTGACGTCACCCACGGAGCATGCAGGCCTTGTTTTATCGGTGGTAACGCTTTAGGCCACTACCCTTTCCGATCAAGCTACCACGGTATACAAATGAACTCCCACCTTGTGTCCGGTCGGATCCTCCTCCACGTCATCCGTCACGTTGGCCGGCAGTCGCAGGATGCTCACGTTACCGAATTTGTCCGCCGTGGCGATGGTGTCGTAGTCGAGGACGGTGGTGCACGTGATCCACCGAGGGTGCGTGTCGTCGGCGAAGATGATCAGCTGGTTCTCGGCCCGCTTGTAGCGCACCATGAACACCGACTCCTGAATTATTCGATAAAGGACATGAATGAGTTCCAGATTGATTCAAGTTGGGTTCTGACCATCCAGCAAATGCATTTCTTCAGCCAAGTGAGGAAATTTACAAGTGATTTCAATTAAATGTTTCATTATAAAAGGCGTTATTTTCAGATGTTTGTTTTTCAAATTACTATTACTGTGTCTGGTCATGGAACGTCAACTTACAGACGCACAGTAAGCACACCGCAGTTTTCGTTTATTCCACCAGTATAGGTGTCATGATCGCGCAATCACCGTCAACAGCGGATGAAATAACTGTCAAGAATTATGATTCAGACGGTTTGTCTAAATTTTTCTGATGTACTTTATGGCAGTAGGTAAAGTATAGTAAGTAATGCGAGTTGTAAAGCAATTACGCACTTATGGAATTCCATTCAAACAAATATTACATAATATACTATTACGAGGGATTGTTTCTCGTTGGCAGCGTTCAGGAGTAGTAAGCATCAATACGGTGGCTATTGGAGTAGTATTTAGATACATAATCAACATCCATGTAACTTCATGAAAAAAATATTTTTCTATAGAAACCTACCCATACAGAGCGAGTCAGAATGAGACTAAGGGCCTATTTATGCATCATTGTCTTAGTCATCGTCTTAATCATACTCTTAACCAAGATGGATAAAATATCAACTCATCATATGCATTATGCATCAGTCTTTAGGCTTAAGAATTATGATATGACAATCAACAATCCGTCAATTATGTCAACTGGCAATTTTAATATTTTGTTTTGGAGCAGGCTTCTGAGCTAATTTTGATTATTTCCAGGAATTCTGTATTGCAATTTTATCTCTGTATTTTGAGTCTTTCTTGTCCAAAGGATGAGGAAATTTTTCCACCAAATCTATTAGGGTTCCTTCTTGCAGGCTCATGATTTTTTGATATTTGTTATCAAATGTAATCAAATTATTAGAATGATGTGATCAATTATTGAAACAGCAGAGAATGGCACTGATTTTTTGGTGACAAAACAAAATCAAGTCATGTGATTGCGCAAATCTTATGTGGTCTCAATCATAAGCATAAAATTAAAAAGGTCATGATTTAATGATTATGATAAAGACTGAGGCTAAAAATGTTGCATGAATTCACCTATTGAAATGTATGCTCATAACTTGATTTTATGATTAAACCAAAGACTGTGACTAAGACAATGATGCATAAATATGCCCTTACAAACTTCGTTTTCAGATTTCTTTCTTCATTTCGAGGTAAAATGTGATAATCTTCGACTGGGTGGGACCTTCAAATGACAGATATTCATGAAAGAAAATACCGGGAGGCACACCAAGATTAGACCTTTTTGATCAATGATCTTATGAAAGAATGCTCAGATACGTTATTTTTAATGACTTCCTGAGAATTTTTTCAGGATATGACATCATAATATTGTTATATGACCGTGAACCATTCAATGCGTTTTCCCGTTTTACATTGATTCATAATAATATTTTTCAATGTTTGAATCACATTGAAGAAGTATTTTTTGTTACATTCAGAATATTCTTTTCATTAATCTGAAATATAAAGCGATTTGAAATTAAAAACAAAGAATTATACCGTTGACTCATGTAACAAAGCTAAGATGAATAGGTTTTTATCCTTCATTATAACAATTCTAAACAAATCGCCCAGTATCTTTCACAGTTTACCGAAGTCGAACTGAAGCCAAATATTATGGTTTACAGCCCTCTCGAAAGAGAAGGTAAAAAAGAAGGGTATTTCTTGTAGTTAATTGACCATCGACGACAACTGCATTTGAATAGATTTACTTCTATATGGTGCTGCCAGAATACTTGTAGGATTAATTAATTATTGTCATAGTATAAAGAGGTTGCAAAATACATGATATTGGCAACAACGATTGGGTTTTTACTGAGGCGTTTTGCCAATCACTGTATATGATTTTATTTCATATAAGGACAACCGTCAGTCCAGTCGAAAATAGATGTTCTTCAAACAAATATTGTAAAGGGTCTGAGTAGTTTATAGCTTCTGCCCAAAGACAACCATACACTTCCTCAGAAGAATAATAAAATGTTAAGTAAGATTTGTTGGATGTTATTCTGTGCATGGATATTTTTGGGGTGCTAATCGATAGCTAGATGAGAGCTTTCAGACCACCCCTAAGGAGGAAATCACCGACCAGGATTGGATAAGATACAATTTGGCGACATCTACATCACGTGAGACACTCAGCATACAAAAGTGAAGTTTAGTCAATTTGAGGGAAGTTCATTTTTAGAATTTGTACTGTTCGGTTGTGCATCACGTGATGCAAAGCACTGGTAAGTCACTTTTTAATTAGAAAGCTTCACTTTTATTGTGGATTGAAGAGTTATCAACTACTGGAGTTGCACGGACCAAGTCAACTCTATAAATACATACAATTTATTTGCACGGACCAAGTGAACTTAATGAATATATTCAATTTATAACTTACTCAATACTCAATAATTGTATCTTCACTGGGAAAACCAGAAAACATGAAAATGCGTAACTGGTACTATGAAGGAGAACGTTAATATTGGACATTTTCTTTTGGTAACTTGAATTGACAATCAAGAAACAAAATGGGAACGTCCTTATTCACTATTCATCGAAAATTCTACTTCTTAGTCATAGAAAACGAAAATCAAAAGAAATACTTGATACTGTCACTGTCTGTAGGATGATGCCTGAAGATAACTATTGAATAAAAATACAATTTTGACTTACCTGTACATCAGACACAAATATTCTCTTGCCCATCGCCTGTATATTGACTATAGCATTGGGGATGTGCTGAAATGTGAAAAAAGTTGTGTTAATAATGCAGCACATTTGCGGGTACGACTTTTCAATTATTTCTCAAGAGATCAGTACTGCAGGATTTCAGCACATTATCAGAAATCGTAGTTGTCATCAGGTGAAGAGGTAGGTTTGAGAATTTAGCAATAATTTGGATTCAACATTTTTTAATAGGAAGAAACAGAAGTTCATGCAAAATTCATTTCATTCATCATTTTTATGGAAGTATTGATTGAATGAATAATCATTGTATAGCTTGAATGGGAAAAAAATTGGTATTCTGCTCAATTTTAGGTAAGTGTTCAGTATTTACAATTTTATTAGATGATCAATAGTTGAGTGTAAGCATAATAATAGGCTGGAAACAAGAAAATATCTTCTTTTTATGTAGTATTATTCTAAATTTGCGGTATCTTTAAGTATGCCACATTAACCCTACCTAAGGCTTCGCGCAAGTCTGCACAAGTTAAGAGTCCGATCGTGAACAAATTGACTGGGCACTTGAATCTTCACCCGCTATCGGCTACGTGGAAAAAATCCGTGAAAAATCATAATTGTCTTCCTGTTATCTAGAAAAAGTGCCATAACATTGAAATTACCTGCAAGAAGCAGAAAAAGAGCCGCTAGTGTACCAGGCTGAAGTGACGATACGGATGGGTCTTTACTCTTTGGCGTGGAAGAAAATAAAAAAAAGTAAGGGGAAACGTGGCAAGTTACAAAATCTGTTCAAATTGAAATATTCTTTTGAAATCAGCATTCATGATTCCCACCTCAACAGTAGATACAAATTCAATGACAAAATTAAATAATGGTTGCTTTGTCCTAAAATTTCAAATTCACAAATGTATGGGTGAGTTCAAATAATACAAAAATCCTCCACTGTGTCCTTAGGGACCTAAATTAGTTTTTGCAACATTAATTTACGCTCTTTTTATCTAAATAATGAGTCTGTCTATGCGTTGTTCAAAATTGATGAAATTCAGAGCTCATTTCAAACGTACCGCCATGACCGCCATTTGGCGATACGTCGAATGAATGGTGACGTCAGTTTTTATGCTGTTTTGTTATTGGTCAGATAACCTTCCATTCCCACTCATGAAGCAAGGTTGTCAAGTCACCAATTATAATCAAGATATGAATCTCGCCACTCCTGTCATTGAACAAAACACGTGACAAAACATGATAGGAGGAAGTAATATTATAGTTCAATCTTGACTCTCTCAAGCAACTAGCATGTTCAAATATTTCTCATACTCTAAAACATATTATCTTTCAAATGTTGAAGACTTGACAACAATGTGCTGAATGCTGAGAACTGACAAGGCACCGCCCACAATTCCTGCGCCGTGTTGTCACGTTCACCGGTTCAAATGTCCTCTAGTGTGAATTATAATAATTATTATCAACACAAATGTTATTATAAGCAATGAGCCACAACACATAGGGAAACATTTTGAGACAACTAATTTATTATTGATAATTAGAAATATTACTAATACATTATTGAGAATTCATGAATTATTGAATTACTAAAATTTCTGAAGTTCCCAAACGTATTTTAACATACGGCAACTGTGCAATGGTCTGTCCCTACTCACGAAATCGTGACGTCAGTTTTTATTCGCGTTAAGTTTCTAGCCGTCTGTTACCGTGGCATTATTGATGATTTCAGCACCTTGAAATTGAACGAAAAATTCTAGAAAGATATGGAATTGACAAATATTTGAATGATGAATCTATAAAAAAAAAAAATTGAATACAAGGATATGGAAAACACGAGGAAAACACTTCAAAAATGCCTCAATTTTTATTCAAATCAAACAAATTCCTCCGAAGAAAATAACTGAGAACCCTGCAATCCGTTTGAACACCCACCTTATTCTCGCACTTCCTCAACAACTTCTTCTTCCCCATATCGTACAGCCTGAGCATCTTGCCGACGCCGGCCAACAGTCGGCCGTTGTAGCCGCACAACGCCATCGGCACCTCGTCGACCACCGTCCGGTGCACCAGCTCCAGCTCCTTGCCCATCATGTCCACCCTGTACGTGTCCAGGAAGCCCGTCGAACACTGTCTCGGGTTCAGCTGGAAGTCCTGAGGAAGACGGGAGAGAACAATTAATGAAAGTTATCGGTGAGTCTTTACAAGCATTTTGAAATTCATAATTTTATCTCTCACTCACTTCTCACTCCACTCACCACTCATTCTCACTTGCTTACTAAGTCTCATAATTTCATCTCACATTCTCTTTCATGGGGTGCATGCAAGATCTGGGTCATCGTGCACACGACCTATACGCTTATTATTTTCTCTCACTCATTCACTTTCTCACCAACTTCCACTTCCTGGTTCCTTCACCAAGTCCTATCACACACATACACATACCCCCTCACACTCTCACAGACATTCCTAATACCCCCTCACATCCTCACAGACATTCCTGATACTCTTTCTTCAACACTTTATTTTTGTCTCCTGTCACCCTATATACCGGGTGTACCAGATTTTTTTCATACAGCCAATATCACAAGTTATGCTGCTTTGAAAAAAAATTGTCCTAAACCCAAATGACTCTGGAACCATTGTGTCAACGTTAAAATACCCCTGAAACATCACCCCAACTTCAATTTTCGAATTACACCCTATAGATTTATTGTAGATTAGATAATTTGACTGACCAATAATTGATAGAATACTCATTTGGAGTAAATGTAAAAGGTATCGGCTTACTCTTCGCTCATTCACACTTACTGAATTTGCTCTTTCTTATTTCCTCATTCAACTCTTACATTTCACTCATTTCCATTACTTTATCACAATTCGCGATAGAAAATAGCACAGCGCACCATCTGACGGCGATAACTCGAACACTTCTGAGGGGTTTGTTTTCATGGATGACCCATGAGCACAAACAAACAAAAAATGTGAACCAATGAAAACAGAGTAAACAGACTGCTTTGACAACTTTCAAAACCTTCGATAGGTGGCGTACGCTTTTACTATCGGGAATAATATATCCTTTCAATGTTGTGATAGTTTGAGTTCCACTGTACAGAGATTCCAACACTTTTTCACTTATTTTCATCACTCATATCTATCACTCATCCTAATCATCGCTAGTCACTATCAATCCTCTTACTTTCTCACACATGGCAATCACACCTATTGCTCCTATTACATTATCTCTGTCTCACTCTCAACTTCCACTTTCTCATTCTCACCCATATTAGCTCCTATCTATCACTCACTCTCCAATTAGCCTCTTTCATTGTTTTTCTCTTTCTTTTCACCCTAACAACTCCGACTATCCCATTTGTTGTTTATTCTTTTTTTTACCTTAGCAACTACCACGATCAAGAACATCTGATGCTCGGGCTGGTTGTGGAACTTGGCGAGCGCCAGCGCTCTCTCTCTCTCATTCCTATGCTTATATCTCTCACTCCCTCCATTATATCATGTCTCTGTCGTTGTTCTTTCTTTTTTTTTACCTTAGCAACTCCCACGACCAAGAACGTCTGATTCTCGGCTGGTTGTGGAACTTGGGCAGCGCTAGCGATCTCTCCTCACCCCTAATAGCTTTCCCTCACTAACTCTATTATTTTTCCCTTTTGTTTCTTCTTTTTTTTTACCTTAGCAACTCCCACGACCAAGAACGTCTGATGCTCGGGCTGGTTGTGGAACTTGGCGAGTGCCAGCGATTTCTCTCTCTCTCTCTCACACACACACACTTCAATGCTTATATCTCTGACTCTCCCTATTATTTGTCCCATTCGTTGTTTGTTCTTTCTTTCACCTTGGCAACACCGACGATCAAGAACGTCTGATGTTCGGGCTGGTTGTGGAACTTGACCAGCGCCAGCGACATGGCCGCCTCGTTCTGCTCGAGCCGGATCAGCTGGTAGGTGCCACCCTGCACGGGGTCCATGATGCGCAAAATGGACGCCCACATGTTGTGGCCCGCTTTGGGCGCCGAGAAGACGCTCTCGGGAAGGTCCTCGTTGAGGAAGGAGTCGGCCATCTCTCGGGCGAGGTCTTGCTCGTCCTCGCCGGCTGCTTCCTGGAATAGGTTCATTTAGTCATACTCTTAAAATTAGTTTTTCACTCAAACTACAGCCATAAAAAGAATCAACTCAATCGGACGAGAGTTGGCCAAAGTATAGCCGTAGACAAAACATGGTCCCACGAGTCGGAATCACCGACGTGACATCACTGGCCCCGTCGAGCAAGGCAATAGATCAAGGCTGTATCACGGAGCCACTGCGTTGCCATATTATTTCGTTTAAAATCGTTCACAATATGAAAATTTCGAAAGTATAGAGAAATTTTGTGGCGACACTGCTTGTTCACAATGATGTAGTAAAATTTCGAATCTGTCAAATTGAATAATATAGATCACTGATATAAACTATCTAGACCGCGCAAAATCGAAGAAGTTAACGTGGTCGGACTCTACAGTCGAATATTATTACTATAAAGTATACAGGATGGTTCAAGTGTGCTACTATGAATTATCATAATATTACCTGGTGAACATGATGACAATGATGATAATAATACTCATAATATTGTTTTAAACTAAAATGTATCACTGGACAATCAGGGATCTCCTTTACCAATTTGACTCTAACGTATAATATAGAAGTTAACCGGCAAAAGAAGCTCCAAGGTGAACTTTAGAGAATTGTTCCCTCAACTTTCGGCACAGACAGAACCAAAATTTAGTTTTGCCTGTTTCCTAGCGGGGTTTTTATCTGCCCTTATTATTACATTCTGGCACTCTTCAATAGATATTAGGATCTAAAGGAGCGTGGCGTCGGGGCATAATAATAAATAGTCAATTCATAAACGTACTACATACACACATTTATAGGAAACCGTTTTATTAGATAAATGAAATATTTTTAAGAATATCAATCCTCTGGTAATGATTTCGCAGAGTAATCCCCACCATTCACGATTTCATTCATTTATCCGTGTTTGGCGAATACGTTTTCATAATTCATGGACGAATCGCGGTGTTTATTGTTATTTAGTCTGAGGTTCTACCTTCATCTCCTCGGCCATTTGCAATCGCCTCTGCTTCTTCGTATCCTCCGTGTAAGCATTATGCTCGGTCTCCAACACGATCAAATTGCTGGACTCCGGATGGATGATGAATTTCCTCGGCGTGTACTCCAACGGAAAGGACACCTGAATAATAATAATGCACTTTATTAACTAATGAATTAATGTAATCGTTATTTATGTACCAAGTAAAATCTATAAGAGCCGCCAAATTGATAGCCGAGGCCCAGCAGAGAATAGTAAACAGTTTCGCCGAGGTTCATTCTGAATTTTTTCGTCGACCTCGCACTTATTCACAGCGGTCTTATTCACGTGTAAAATCTATCTGATTTCGTGAATAATCAATTATACAACAGCAAATGACAGTTATTGTCCACTCAATCGCCGCTATCGCAACGTGCCATATCAAAAGTTAGGGTCTATGGACGAAAAATAGTTTACCTCAAAAATTGTCGATTTTTCATTCGGAAATTAGTATGTAAAATGTAATTTTTTTTGTAGAGGTCGGCGAAAAACAAATATACAATGCAATATGATCCGATGGCCATCAAACCGGGTTCCTTCAGCCAATGTTTTATCTATTCCTGAAATGCTCTTCCTTCTGAGTGGATTGCAAAGATAAACACAGTTTTTGTAAAAAAAAAACATGATTTCAAGTAATGAATACTTGGAATTTCCGTTAGATCATGCAGTAGCATTTTCAGAGAATCTTTGGAAATGTGGTTCTTGGTCTAACATTAATGGTCCTTTCAAGAATCAGTGGAGTTATAGGGTTTGAGGGCACATTTCTAGGAGAGTGTTGGTAGTCTTACCTGTAGCTTTTACACCTGAGTCATGGAAACCTAACAGATCATCTGCAGATTGATCTTGCAGTGTTAATGTTGATACCATGATCTCTGTATGTTAAAGATTTGAAATGCTTTACTCTTGCTTTTGCAGTGTGGTGATTTAATCTCAGCTTACGATCAAGATGGACCCCCACATATTTTACAGTGGCGTTGATGATTGTTGATAGTTGATAATATGAGAGAATAGATGCATGGGTTATCCCATCCCAATGATTCGCGGTGACAAATAACGTGACAGAAGATTCTGGAATGGTCTGGAAACAATCAATGGAACAAATTGGGGAGAGGTATTGTTCTAAGAAGCTTCTAAAACAAAAGAAGGGTATGGAAGATCATTCGAGAACGTTCGAGAAGCAAAGCCTACCAAGGAATCTCATGTATAAGGACGGCCGGACAACTCCCATCAGTCAGTTAAGCAGCGAGTGCCAGAGAGACAACCGTATACCGCGTGATATAAATCGTTTTACATAAATAGTAGTTATAAGTTCGATATAAATTAGTGTTCTTTTAGTTAAAATGAATCAGTTGGAAAATAAATAGTGCCGTATTCGCCTCTGCACCCGAATAACGTATTGAAAATAATCATCACCTGATTGAACACGGCGCCGAGCTTCTCCAGCGCCAGAATCCGCAGCGTGTTGGTCGATATGGCGACGATGCCCTCGGGACACTGCTCCGAACTGAAGCCCGACGCGTACTCCAGGCTCTCGTAGGACAATGGCGTCAGGTAGAAGCGACTCTGGTAGTAGTAGCTGAGCCAGGATCGGCTGCTCATCGCCAACACGGCTTCCGATTGTTGCATCCGTATCCTGAACAGCTTCACCGGTCTGGACCCCAAGTACCTGTTGAAACAATTAGAAAAACTTACCATGATGTCGATTGTTGCCAATTGGCATAGACTACAGAAAATAAATTATTCTTCTGGTTAACGATTAATTGATGAGAACTTGTCAGCACCACCATCTGATCTACCACTACAGTGACAGCTAAACCTTGTAAATGTACCTTTTATTGTTGCTATCATGATGTTTTCAACTTATTTTATACATTCATGAATATTTTTATTGCTGTCAATCTGTACTTATATGTTATAGTCATATATATATATACTTGTGAGAATTTATTTTCGTAGGTTCACCTATTTTAGTTTTCTAGTTTTTGACCTGTCACAAATATACTAATTGTATGTAACATGATCTAAAATGTATCTAAATGTATCTATCTATAATTAACTGTCAACGGACCGCAACAGTGTGCAACACTGTACAATGATTTATGGGAAAGCAAAAAAACGCAATATACTGACAAACCAATTCCAGTAAGTGAACTATCTTGAAGTATTCAGTAATCTTTGCAACTGGTGAGAGTAACATTTCAATATTTGTCCTTGTTAACAACTCTTCTTACAACAAAAATGATCTAATGTTTCACATAATAACTTTTATATGTTTTTAGTGAGGTTAACTAGGTACCCCTCAAGATTACCTAGTCCTCGTATCGGTCAAATCCCCAGTGACAGGATCCAGCACCGTCCTGAGCAGCGCGCCGTTCTGCAGCCCGATGTTCAAATACAACGTGCTCGTGGTACTGGCGGCAGCCGCGTCGTCCGCATCGCGCTCCGCGCAGCCCATCTCGACGATGCACAGCGACTCGGCGCACACGGGCAACGGCTGCATAGCACGGGGGGCGAGGCAGTCGCTAGGGTCGAGCGACACGATGCGCACAGTGTTGTCGGCCAGGCCTACTGCGAGGAACCAGCTGCACTGCTCGCCCGACGGCACGCTGGCCAAGGCCATGCACAGGACGTCAGAGTTCATGCGTCTTCTGTCCTTGTATTCGTGCAGTTGGCCGGTCTGGAATCGATCGGAATGGAATCACTTTAGGTACAAAGATGCAATTCGCAATAGTAAAAGAATCTGCAGAAACCAATATAGCAATATATACAGTATGATGCAAATGTATGGAATAAATTCATTATTTCAGAAATGGGCATTTGAAAAAATTCCAAAGACACGTGAGTTTTAATTTCTGAAGCCTCATCTCATGATATTCATATGAGAGATGTTACGTCACCGGTGTTGGAGTAAAGAAGTAATGGACGATTTTTTCAAATACAAATAGGGGTCATGTGACACCTTGATTGAAAGGTCTACCGATCGTCTATTCAACAGTCAAAATGTTGCATAAGAAGATTGAAATTAAAATGGATTATCATGTGATTAATTGAATCTTGCAGAGGTCTGCTACTGAGAATTGAACATCGAAGGGTCGTCTAGTTAATAAAATACGTCGAAAAAAACGTTCTAAACTCTAGTTTTTGTTTTTTTTCGAAAGTCGTCTTGTTTTGAAATGAATTCATTCTATACATTTGCATCATACTGAATATATAAGTATGGAAGTTTATTGGTGCGGTCGGTGCTGACGGCCTGGCCTACTGCGAGGAACCAGCTGCACTGCATATCTACGCCATTGTAGCCCGAATATAATGATGGAAATATCAGGACGGGCGCGAGGCAGGCAATTTGAAGCTAGACGTCATTAGTCATACAGCGAATTACGACATTAAATATTGAGAATACGGATAATTAAGATATTTTGGGGTATTTCAAGTACTACTGAGGATGATTCCCCTTTGTAGTGAACATATATCATATTCCCGAGAATAGTAGGGATCGATAGATAACGATATAAAAATATGAGTTTATATTTCCAAGGAATACATATAAAATTCATACTCAATGAATGAAAAATATATTGGTACGAAAATACTTACCGGTCGATCCCTAGATAAGAGCAGATTTTGTAATTTAGCTGAATTGGTTATTAGCTACATCTATAAGAAAATATAAATAGATTTGGAATCCGCATGACAATTCAAGTTGAATTATTCAATATTATTTTCAAGAAAAATTTGACTGGGAAGACAGTTTTACATAAAAGATCTATGACAAAAATGTTTACAGATTCAGAATGTCTTGAGATTTAGGTCATAAAAGTTGTTATGTAAAATTGTCAGTTTCTGAAATTTAGCAAGAACAGCTGTACTTTTCTTAATCAATTATTAGATCTACGACAAACATACTCATAGATTTGAAAGAAATTGAATAAATACTGTCCATTCTTGATTCACTCCAATATACTACTAAGACACATCGGAGGCGACAAAAATCATTTTATCTAGCACAATAAGCAATGGCTAATCAATGAAATGTAAATCAGCCGAAAAGCCAAAGTGCCACGATATATACAATATTGAATTATTAGTAAAGTTTGATGACACTGGGAGAGTTCAATAGAACGACTGCAACAGTGAGTAATATACAAGGTAATTCATTTCTTTTTGGCGAAAATGAAGTGAGTGACACATCTTCGAGGAATATTAAGGTCATACTAGTTTATATTGGATTGTTTTGATAAGTCGATGACGCAAAATAAAATAATAAGTCTTTGTAGTCAATACCTGCCGCATGCATAAAAGTTTTGAAATGTTTGTTGAGTTACAAAAAAATATAAATTATATAACAATATATATCAAGATTACCACGGAAGAGACAAAAGTTCCATGTGATACGGTCAAATTCGGTAACTATTGGGATTTTTCATTTGGATTTTGTCAAAAATCATAAATAGGTATTCCTGTGCTTCTTTTTTTATAGATCTCTGCATAACAGCATATTCATTTAATTTTCGCTCAAACAGGTATGAATACGCCACAGAACAAATTAGATCAAAATGTCTGACCATGAGCACATGAGTCACAGCAAGTAGTTTAGAAAAAAAAGAAATTCCGCTCACGTCGATTGAATGTTAAGAGAATGGCAAAATTTAACATCGTGTATTGACGCACGGAATTCTGAGGTTTGTATATAGTCGGGGCTTGTTTTGCAAAAAGTCAAATTCTAGAAGCATTTCATGTAACAATTGGATAAATGACGTTAACCCCCTATTTCGACCCCGCTGAATCCGAAAATACCGTTTATCAAGTCGAAATTCCAACCGGAAGTGAGATATTCAAGATGGCGTCCGAAATACCCCTAAAATCTAATTATTTTCTACTTTCGGTCAGCTATACGATTGAGGTGTCGATGTCTATGTTTTCGGGGGTGTAAATTACGATGAGACACTCAAAAAATGATTTGGAGCATTGAAAGTTCATCGAATGATCAAATTTTGACGAAATATAGATCAAAATTCCAAAGAACTTGTGAAAACGTGTTGCATAATGTATATGCTTGCATACGCTTTCGAGGGTGCTCAATAAGTTTATGAGCCAAAAAAGCATTTGAACATTGTCCAAGCCTTCATTTCTTATATTTTGAGAGAGCCCCTTGCAGCCACGAGTTCCAAATTCGGAAAATGAATTGGGAATAGGTGGCAAAGTCATCAGGATTGGGACATATCGTCCATCAACAATTTTCCAGCCGTAATTATTCGGGTCTTATAAATCAGGATACTGATCATAGGACTCAATCCACACTAGTATCTGAACATAACATTAACATCCTTCGATTTGTTCAATTTTCTTTGACCTGGAAGTAGCACCGGAGAATGTGTTGACGGAGGGCATCAGTGGTAGATGGCGAAAAGCATTCGCACTGTCCAAAAAATTGCAACATGGGCTGCGTCTGACGTTGTAATGTCCGGTCCAACTCAAAATAAAAATGGTAGTAGTATCGAAACGGCTAATAGTTCTTATTCACCATGTGTCTCAGAAAAGGGACGCAACAAACCTTGTATAAAGCTTGCACCACAAACTGTTCAACCAAACGGAGATCATCGGGGGCTAGATCGGGAGTTTTTACAAGCTGACTGAGGAGTTTACAGTAGTTTTCTTCTATGTACTTGCTTCCACCGTTCTGTTTTTGTGACTGACGCTAACTTAAATGTAGTATCACATCCAGTGATTGCGTGGAAAGCCATCAGGTTTTTTATCTGTTGTGGTGCAAGTTTCTTACATAGTTCGTGAATTGGAATATACTCCATGCGTGAAAACCGAAAGAGAGGCTGTTGTTGTTTCTGTTAAAGACACTAGTGTGATTTCATTATTCATCTATCACTCTGAAAGAATGAAATGCAAGGAATGCTGGGTGATGTGTGGTACTTCCCGAGATAGAAAGTATATTCCAATTCATGAACTATGTAGAAAGCTCACATCACAACAGATCAAAAACCTGATGGATTTCCACGCAATCACCGAATGTGATACTAAATCTTGATGAGGGTCTGCCACAAAAACAGGACGGTGGAAGCAGTACATTGAAGAAAACTACTGTAAACTCCTCAGTCAGCTTGGAAAGACTCCTGATATAGCCCCCGAGGATCTCCGTTTGGTTGAACAGTTTGTGGTGCCAGCTTTATACAAGGTTTGTTGCGTCCCTTTTTTAAGACCCATGGTGAATTAGAACTGTTAGCCGTTTTTATACTAATATCATTTTTATTTCAAGTTGGACCGGACATTGCAACGGCAGACGCAGCCCGTGTTGCAATTTTTGGGACAGTGCGAATGATTTTTGCCATCTACCACTGATGCCATCCATCAACACATTCTTTGGTGCCACTTCCAGATAAAAATAACAAGAAGAAAAAGAAAATAGAAAAAATCGAGGGATTTTAATTTTAGTCTGTTTTCTTTTTAGGTACTATACCTTTTCAACTTCAATTTCTGAATCGATAAGTTATATTTCGGAAAATGTGATCTCGATTTCAGAATTGGTTAGTTCGATTTCAGAAATGGTAAACTCAATTTCAGAATCGGTGAGATGAATTTCAGAAAAAGTCCATTCAATTTCAGAAATGGTAAGTTGTATTTCAGAATTGGTAGGTTCAATATCATGAAAAAAATCCTTATCTTTGTTCGAAATGTTTCCAATTGCATGTGAAATTAACAAACCATATTTAAAATATTCAACTTTTCAAAAACAATTTAATCCACAGATGCCTTCCATCTGAATCGCTGGAAGATAGTGGCGTTGCACATAATTATGAGAATGCAAACACATTTGAGGTGTTACCATTTTCGTTGAATGATCTGCACATTCTTCAAGACATCGCAGTCTGAATTCTATCTGGTTGAGCAATCTGTTCGGATCCCCAGCTATGACCCTTTGGCGATGCTCTTGCAAGAAGCTCTTCACTTCTGACTTGAAGGCACCTCATATATGTTCAATCTGATTCAACATAGGGCTCTCAAACACCGATCCATCCACTGTAAACAATCTCCTCTTTTGCAATTGAAAACATTTCGAACATATAAAAGGATTTCATCTTCTGAAATTGAACCTACCAATAATAATTCTGAAATACAACTTACCATTTCTGAAATTGAATGGACTTTTTCTGAAATTCATCTCACCGATTCTGAAATTGAGTTTACTATTTCTGAAATCGAACTAACCAATTCTGAAATCGAGATTATTTTTTCCGAAATATAACTCACCGATTCCGAAATTGAAGTTGAAAAGGTATAGTGTGTGGTTTAACGCCCATGATCAGTATCTTGATTCACCAGACCCGATTAATTGGGGCTGGAAAATTGGTGATGGACGGTAAGTCCCAATCTTGATGACTTTGCTACCTATTCCCAAGTCATGTCCCGAATTTGGAGCTTGTGGCTGCATGGGGCTCTGCGGCCACTGCGGCACGAAGCAGTGTGGCTGCAGGGAGCCGAATGGAGCAGAAAAGATGAGGAAGACTACTAATAGTGAACTTTTTTTCTCAAAATATAAGAAATGAAGGCTTGGACAATGTTCAGATGCTTTTTTGGCTCATAAACGTATCGAGCACCCTCGAAAACGTATGCAAGCATGTACATTTATACAACACGTTTTCCCAAGTTCTTTGGAATTTTGGCCCATTTCGTCAAAATTTGATCATTCGATGAACTTTCGAAGCTCCAAATCATTTTTTGAGTGTCTCATCGTATTCTACACCCCCGAAAACATAGACATCGACACCTCAATCGTATAGCTGACCGAAAGTAGAAAATAATTTGATTTTAGGGGTATCCTGGACGCCATCTTGAATATCTCACTTCCGGTTGGAATTTCGACTTGATAAACGGTATTTTCGGATTCAGCGGGGTCAAAATAGGGGGTTAACAGCATTTATCCAATTGTTACATGAAATGCTTCTAGGATTGTAACGGAGGGCTTTTTTTGGAATTTAGCCCCGACTAATATAAAAAAAAACTGTTTTCCGACAACTCACCGGGTCCATCTCGAAGTAAACCAACTCTCCTCCAGACAGAGCTATGACCACCTGCCTCTGATTCACAGCGCACTTTACAATGCTCTTTTTGCCAGCTTTCCATTCGTTCACACGTTTGTCCGCACAAATATGTCTAATCCCGTCCGGATAGACCTTAAAATAAAACATCCACAAACTGTGACAGTGCCATAAGAGGTTTTATAAGGTTCATATGAATTCAGAAACTTGCATATTCTCTATTTTACTAAAGTATTTACGACAATGTGGTGTTGACACTTCATTTATGAAGTAGTAACAACTCTGATATTTCAATAAAAATTAATTTCGGTATTTGTTTGGAGACCATAACCTGTAAAATTGATGATTATCTCCGATTTCAGGTCTACAATAGGTGCGTTCAATTGGCAACAAATTCTGAAACTGGTTCCAACTTTTCATTCCGTCATCTCCTACGGAATGACAGTGGAGGGGGTGTATGAAATGGCGGTTTATCAGAAAAGTGACCTCGCCTCATAGTCCAAGATATATAGGATGAACATAGTTGCCAAAAGGTGCGAGAATAGTTCAATGAATAGAATTGCTGGCTCAAGATGGCGATGGTATGAATAGATCAGTTGCCAGTAGACCGAGAGCGGCTGATGAGTACTATCTCATTTTTCAAGTATGCGTTCTTTGAGAATTCAAATGAACCTAGAGGCCTGTTTGTTTGTGTTTGTTCTACCTCCTAAACTCGATTTTTTTTATTACTTTCTCTGTTTACATGCCATGAACAGACAACTATGGGAACAAAATCAACTTTAGCAAGATCAGGAACACAAACGAACATACCTTATAAGGCTATATCTACCTGCACGAGCGCATCGTCGCTAAGTGCGGAACACGACAAAGTAGGCGCAGTTCCCAAGAACCCACTATCCGTCACTTCTTCGACAGTCTCGCCGATAGACAACACCAATGTGGCGTTCAAGAAAGACACAATGATATAAGCGTCATAATCATCTGAAACAAACGAGCTCAGCATTAACTTTCGACATTCGGGAGATCACGAATGCTTTGTTAATTCAAAAAGAATATCAGTTTTGTGGACTGTAATCATTGTGAATCAGGTGAAACACGGACAAAAATCTCATCATGAAAATCCAAGGCTGCTAATGACCTTGTTTGGAGTACAGGAGCTCGTGGTTGAATTTTTTTTTCTCGACTTACCTAATCGCACGGAGAAGTTTCCCACAGAGAGTCATCTGAAATGAAAAAAAGCACTGGTGTTGAAAAGTGTTCAACAGCCAGGCCTTGATAAATTTTGTTTTTTTCTCAAATAATATTCCAATCATAAACAATTTAGTTCACTGTTCAAGTTGATTTCAAACTTGCATCTCATTAGCCAGTTTTGAAATAAATCAATATGGATACATTACACATTACCTTCTTGTGAACAAAAATACACACTAAATAAATAACATTAATTAGTCAAAAGAATGGAATATAGGTAATGTTTTCCCAGTTCCTCAAGTACACTTCCAAAGACTCAAGTATTTTGGTCAATTTTAATGCAGTGAAGCCCTTTCTTCTTCTCATTGGTAGTACTTTGACTCTACATGACCAGCCGATTTTCATTTGTTTAATGATTTTTTATTTGATTATTATAAATAAATTAGTTCTATCTGTGATCGGACTAAGGGACGGATTTTTATGCACTAATCGCCGTTCTTATCGTAATTGGAGGACGTACACATGTTTTCTGAGCCCCTCTCCACTTAATCTATAACAGAACGGCAGAACATCTAACATTGCCATACGGTAACAGCGCGCCCCCCTCACCGTCCACACGACCTTGGCCCGCTGCCACACAGCATGTACAGCTGCAGCGTATCCTCGCCTGCCAAATCGGCGAATCGCGACAAGATGGGCGACAGCGACTGACTCTATCTCGTCGACGATGAGTCGCTGTTATTCCCACCATTCGCTGTTATTCCCACCATTCGCGATTTCAATCATTTATTCGTGTTTGGATTGTTGGCGTCTACGTGTGAACGATTTAGGAATGAATCGCGGTGCCGATCTAGTATTTAGTCTTACGTAACGGACTTATCCCCACCAATCACGATTCCATCAATTTAACCGTGTTTGCCGTATAGGATTGTTGGCGTATAATATTCAATGAGTTATTTAGTCTGAGCCCCACCACATACAGAACATAATCTATAACAGAACGGCAAAACGCCTAGCGTTGCCATATGGTAACAGCGCCCCTCACTCACCGTCGCTCCGTCTCTTCACCGTCCACACGGCGTTTGGGTTGCCAGGCAACTCCGACACCGCCATCTCGGACACCTCCAACCCGTGCCGGAGCACGCGCAGTGACGACCTCGGCCCCCGGCCGCACAGCATGTACAGCTGCGGCGTGTCCTCGCCCGCCAAATCGGCGACGCGCGACGACAAGATGGGCGACAGCGACTCGATCTCGTCGACGAGGACGAGGTTGCGCAGCGGACGCGGGGCGAAGAAGAAGGTGTCGCCCTCTTCGAGGGGCATTGCCGAACTGAACTCGAGTTCGTCGTCGTCGTCGCCCAGGTGGGCGATCTGGTAGAGGTAGCTGAAAGTTATTTGGTTCTTATATGGAATATTAACAATTGGTCGCAGAATATCCAACAATCAGATGTTATAATATAAGAAATTCACTGTGAATATTATAATTAATTCAATTATATTGGTAGCTGTATCAATCAATAGAATAAGTATTGGATTTGTGGAAATGCAACTAATGGAACTCAAAACAAAAACTCATATTTGAGAGATTTCGGAAATATTTATTCCTTCGTCAGTCACTAGTAGATGAGATTGTAGAAAATATAGCAAATCAGAACTGTGCAATATGCAATAACATGTACTAAAAAACTGTCAAAGAGAAATCAACAATCAATTGCAGAATATCCCACCATCAGATATTATAATGTTAACAATTCCCTGTGTGCATGGTAATTTTGCACTTATCAAGTTTTTCTCAGAAATTTTTTTTTGTTAGTTTGAAAAACACGAATTTGAATGTGAACAAACCATTATTTATTCAGATATTTCACTATAAAGTTACAAATTTCACCTTCTTTCCGATTGTCTTTTGTATCTCATTTAGAGAACAATTTGCCCTTCTTTTTTCATCATTAGACAATTTATATATCACATTGTACTTCAATGACACATTTTTTTATACATCTAAGTCAACTAGAAATATGATTTTCTTGTGATTTATCAATATTTAGTGAAAGGAAGGAAGAATATTATTTGAAATAATGGCGTGTGCGACCTCATTCAGAAGCAATCTGTTGACATTTGACATCTCATATTTGGATTGATTATTGATTAAATGGCCGTCATCTGGTATGATTGGTAGCTTTAAATGCAACCAAGACAAGGGGAATAAGAAGGCAAAATTTCAAACTTTTCCTTGAAATATCTTGATAAGTAGTGGTTTGTTCATATTTCCATTATCAAATTCGTGTTTTTTGGATAATGATACGTAGGTATAGTTTATCCAAAAACAATTGCAGAATCTTGTGCGGCACCTGCAGTCACTTCAAAGGAAACTTCAAACACGCCGATGCCGCACAGAGCGGGATATTCTGCAATTGATATTGGATATACTATTATAACAACAAAATTTTTCGAAAAAAACCTATCATGTTAATTGCAAAATTACCATGTATATCATAATATGCACATCAAACCTATGACGAACACTTTTTTGATAGATCTTCACCTCAGAGCAAATAGAGATAGATACCTTTTATAATCAAATACATACATGATATATAAAATTAGTTATTTGTATTTACCAGTGATGAAGAAAGTAGTTACCTTGACCACATATTCATCAAAATTTTCAAAACCCGATTCAATTTAATAAGGCTGCATTTGAGAACAATATGGAAAGATATTTGCAGAATAATAGCTCTCCATGATAAAATACAAAAATGCAAACAGGGTTGGGACGATTCAAACAAATTATTAACATCATGATGTAAATCAACTGATTTTTCAATTCAAATCGTAATTTTGATTAAATCATAAATTGCCGTATGAACAAGTTGGTGAAGTACATAACTCATCAGGAAATTCAAAAAAGGAAAGATAGTATACTTGAAACATACATAATGTTTGTTAAAAACATAATTAATCATCATCAATTCAATGTAAATATTAATTCAACTGCACAATATAAAGATGACCGAATTTTCTTGTTCTTGCATGAAAGGCATGGCAGGAAGATTTTCATGTGAAAAGTAGAACATATTTTCTGAAATTTTGGGAATTGGTTCTTTAATCTTTGTATTTTTATGCAACTTTGCATTTGGAAAGCCTAAACCGAGAATACCAAAAAGATCATCATTGTATGTAACAAAGAATTGGTGTGACAATTTGTGAAATGAAAATACAATGTTTCATGCGTGGAGGCCAAGATATTATGATAAACATATTGGTACTATGTGCATGATTTTTTTCCTAGGACACTTGAAATTCATTGAATTTTTGTACTAATTCACAGAAGTAAATGAAGAAGTGTCCCATGCATACCTTCAAGATGAAAAAAAATCAAAAATCTACAGGGTGTTACAAATTCATGGCTAAGCATGGGGATGCAGAGTTAGTTACATTTATATTAGGGCAAAGTTGCACTATTTCATGTTCAACAATATTCTGCTTTGAAATAGGAAAAATTTCAATTATTTCCGGAGATAAATTAGAATAGGCAAAATCGTTTTTATTTATTACTAAGTTCATTTGAAGAGATATCTCAAAATGAATGGCACTTCATCATTGCCACTTTTCCTCATCTACAAAAAGGAATTGTGAAAGAGTAATAAATAAAAACAATTTTCATCATTTAATTTTTTTCCGGATATCTATGGAAATAATTAAATTTTTTCCAATTTCAAAGCAGCATTGTGTTGAGCATTACAGAGATCCCCATGCTTAGCCACAAAATTTGTAACACCCTGTATTGGCTTGGTTGATCAATATCCCAGACAAATTACAATTCCAATATTTTATTCAACAACAGAAGTCTTCCAATGTTTGGGGCACCTACTAATAGTATTTAGTTATTTTCTGCAAGATATTGTTCTCATTTCAATTTCAGTATGTAAAATGATTCTCAAATTGAAAACAAATTATACAAATCCAAATACATATCAGAGAATCTACAAATCAAATAATATTAAAAATATACTTACTGGTTACCAAATTCTGAAGCTACAAACAGGAATCCAGTCTTCAGTACACACATAGCAGATGCAACAGGAACAGTATCAAAATACTTCAGCTTTATCTCAGTAACCATATCCTCATCAGTTTCTAGTGTTATTTTGAATATATCCCCTTGCTCTGTTTGAGCAAGGAAGAAGAACATGGACTTGGTTTTATGAGTAGCTGAACAAACAAAAATCATGCCTCTTTCAGGATCATCCAAGTCATTCCTTCTTCTTGGAATAGGACAACGAATATCATGCTGTTCACCAAGATTTTTGTAAGTTAGGTAATTTTCAGAGCAAATAAGCACTCCTGAAGGACCATCATCTCCCCCTGGGACAGTCACAAGGAAATTTGCATGTTCTTCTAAAGGCTCAGAATATTTTCTGACAACATGGTTGACCCCCAGCTCCAGTTCATAAAAGGTTAGGGTTTGTTGGGTTTTTTGAGCAGCTTCACCTGTAGGATCAGAGTCTGCTTCCTCATAATCAATTTCCAAGCAAGCAAAAGTAGGATTATTATAACCTACATCTACACCAACCATGTGGTACACAAGAGTGTTGCTTTTATGTGCCTCTAATGGTGATGAAATAGTCAACCTAGCTTGTGCATCTCTGTTCAAAATGTAAGCAAGCTTTTGCTTCTCAATAGCTCCAATCATTACAGCCCTGCCTCTAGGATCAGTAGCAAGATATTGCCCTGGTACAATTCTTCTAGCACCAGACTTCCCAAATGTCTCCTGATGAACTTTCTCAAAAATGTTTTTCTGGGGTAAGTACTCTAAGATGACCATCCGTCCAGAATCTGAACCAACTACTACATAATCTTTAGTGCCCCCTGTAAGCCTGAAGGCCATCAAAGATCTTATAACGCCGAATATTTCTACTGTAAGGAGAGTGTGTACTTTTCCTGTGTTGGGATCAGGTCTAAGAAGCTCCAAGCTTTTGCCTCTGGAAATGGCAATTTCTTGAATTTTTGTTCCAGAAAAGTTGCCATGAACCGCGTGGATAATGGCAGTTGCCCTCTGCAGGGTCAGGTTGTATAAAAACATCTTGTCTGTAATCAATGTAAAATAAATATAATATGAATGTAAAATATAGAAATAAAGAATCATTGTATATCCATTACGAAAACCAGATGACATTACAATGGGATGCTGCCAATATAAAGAAGGAATCTCAAAGGAGGATAATAATGAAGTCGGACATTTTCTTTTGTTGAAAGCTTGTATTGATTTTCTAGAAACAAAATGGGAATGTCCTGCCGTTCGTGAAAAATATTATGATAACTGAAAAGAACCTTTAAATGAACTACGAACTACACTTACTTGAGTATTCGATGGTTAAATCACTCCCACATAATTTTCGATAATTTCTACAATTTCCACGAATTCAAGCTACACGAGGTCACGGATGGAAACGAAACGGACCAACGGGCAACGGAAGCCGATCACCTTGCGTTCGCCCATCGTGAAAGATGAACACAAAATGAGAGATGTCTAGAAATTTAACATGACATGACATGATGAGTAGACAAAGACAAATGGCAAATGGCAAATGACAAATACAGATGAGATGACGCTAGCTACAATGCTTATTCCGAATTCAACTGACAGTAGTCAGTACTGGATCTGCTGATTTTTGATTCCGAAATCAAAAAATTTACTGAAAGTAACAGATGCTTGTGAGCAGACATACTTATTCATTCCAAATATTTCGACTCAACATTCTGCTGAAAATGCTTACTATCAAAAGGTAGGGTGGCTTCAGTGATGAGAGAACTGTTATTCAATATCAGAAAATATTTGTTATTGAAATAATAAACGCTGAGAATAATATATGGAGTCTGATGAAGTAGTAGAGGTAACGAAAGAAGAAGCAACATTGGCTAAATAAATAACTACATAAACTTCAAATGCCTCCTGAATTCATCATCATTATTACCTAATTACGTTTTCCATGAATCTTTCAATTCTCAATCTGGAGCATCATGAAATTAATGGCAACAAAATGTCCAAGCATTGTCTGCTAAATATGGAGAAAAAATCTAGTGGGCTGGAGTTAAACTAGATTTTTTCTCCATATCTAGCAGACAATCAAGCAGACAATGGAGATGGACAGCTCACTAGGTTTGTTCTCCATATTTAGCAGAAAATGCCCCAAGTCAAGACATGGGATGCCGTGTGCGCGGCGTGATCGCAAACAATGACGTTGATTTCGATACCACGTCAGTCATGAACGACAGCTTGGGGGTTCTTACGTGTTGACTGACTGCATGTTGAGCAAAAGTGTTTTCGACTTTTCAGACGAGCAAGAGGAACTGACCCTACTGACTACTAGCAGTCTAGATAGAGTAATGAAGTGGCGTTCACAACCAAAATTTTTACGTTTTGCTTTTTACGTTTCGCATTCTGATTGGTGAAGCAAAATCTGGAATGGACATGACGAAAAAAGTTGAATATTTTCAGCTTTTTGCGTTGCAAGATGCCTCTATGTGCGAGAATGACACGATATAGGAAAATGGGAAAATAGACAAATACTCAATATTCAACCTATTTCCACACCATACTTCAATGATAGTCTCACCCAATATTCGCCTTTTTGGGATTGATTTTTCTCTTTAAAGAGCAATTTACGTCTCTGCCAGAACTCATGAATATTAATCGTTATTTAATTAATATTATTGTTGTGTTTATTTCCCAGGACCGTCTTTCACGTATCAGAGGCCCTGGGCACATTAGAATAATGGGGCCCCTATGACCATAATAAAGTACTATTTCCGTCGACCTCGTGTTAACGAATAAGTTTAATGTTTATGAAATCGTTCATTAATGACCCCTATTAATGCACGATTGTTTTATAGGCAACCAAACATACACCGCGTGCATTCATTGTTTATGCTATAACTCACGGAATCTGCATTTGAATCGAAAATATGGATTCCATTGAAGATTTTCCGTTAACGGGTTCGCCTTTCCAAGTTTGTGAAACGATTTTAACCCCTGTTTTCTAACACAAGGAATTTATTTTCTATGTTGATCATTTCGACAGATGTCAAATGTCACTAATGTAAGTAACTATAGGCTACTCTAGGTGATTTTTAGTAGTTTCCAGATGAATGATGAATTCGCGAACCAAGTTTTCTTCATTGCAGGAGAAATGAGAAATATAGTCAACAGAAAAATTTTGTAACCAACTCGTATATTAACAGGCGATTAATGATCTCGAACATTAACGCGCTAGCTTCGCTCGCACGTTAAAATATCTCGATCATTATTCGCCCAAATTGATACACTAGTTGGTTAAATAACTATTATGTTAGAATAGACAAATAACGCAGAAATGCAAAGTTTTAGCATTATTTTTATTTCTTTACATTTATATTAGATATGATGAATCGATTTCATCATGTAATCCACACTAAGTAACCAGCATCCACGATTAGTCCTTATACTCCTTATATCTAGTATCTTACTAGTATCTATGCTGATTGAAGAGGAACCCTTCTAGATTTGAATTGAGCAAAATCGTTAATTGTTTTCGAGCATATCACATTCTATCGGCATAAGCGACAAACTATTCAATCTCTCTTGAAGCATTGTACTTCTTAATTCACTTTTTATTCGTTTTAATTTGGAGAAGGAGCGTTCCCCACTGCAGTTAGTTACCACCATACTTAGAAAGATTCTCAGTGCGATTTCTACAATTTTGCTCTCTTTCAAAAGATTATATATTTCCAGTATACCATTTTTCAATTTTTACTCTGATCAATTTTCAAGTAGCTATCGGGACTAGGGGGCCCCAATCATCGCGGGGCCCTGGGCACGTGCCCAGTGTGCCCAGTGGAAAAGAGGGGCCTATTTCACTTCATTTCATAGGGAAGCTCAAGTGACAAAACCTAGGCAACTGAGAAAAACCGTAAAAACTCACGTTAACGTTTTTTTATTGAGAATGACATTTGCTTCAGTTTAATTCCAGATTTCGCTTCACCAATCAGAATACGAAACGTAAAAAGCAAAACGTAAAAAGTTTGGTTGTGAACCCCGCTTAGTCGGTAGTTCGTTATTCTCGTCAGACAGTCTAGATATTTAGGCGTCATTGGCATTGTGATTTTCTAGTGGAACAGTGGAACGCAAAGTGGAACGCACCTCTAATACAACCAAGAACTGTCTTTAGGAAGTGTCAGAACTGTCTAATCACAGAATGTGAATGTACAAAGCTTCGGTTCTTTGAAGATTGGTTGGATTTGGAACATGACAAATTCTAGTACGCCATATTTGATCCTCGTGTGGTGAAAGTTGTCAGAAAATGAATAATCTACTATGCAAAATTAATATCTGTGTGTAATATATCAATTATTTGGTGCAATTATGGAGAAGGACCTTAATAATTCTGCTATTCACAATACATCCCCAAAAAACGAAGAAGACAGTGAAAAGGTATTGTAGTAAAATGCGTTCCTTCCTATGAATTCGCGCGTTCTCATTACTATAAATAGAATTTGTTGAATTATTTCATCTCATTTCATATTGTTACGAATGTAGTCGTTTTTTTCAGTGTTTACCATGGATTTAGATATTGCTAGAAAAACTAAGTTTGCTTTAACCTAAATTGTTGTGTTGTGTGTAGCCCAATAGTGGTGACCGTTTTTAATTCTATCATTCCTTTACAGTCATTTGTTGGTAAATTCAAGTCAATAATCACCAATACTCCCTTGTCTAAGTGGTTCCGTAAGCAAGATGATAGTAGTAGTAAATCAACAATCAGAAGACGCAATGATGATGCTGATGATGAGGAACTCCATCAAATGCAGCCCCCTTCCAAAAGGGTGAAGTTTCCCATTGCTGAGGAAAACAATCACTTTAACAGTGTGACATTTGAAAATGATTCAGATTTGACAACTGTTGATATCACTCTGAAAAGTCAAAAATCAAATCATTTTCCAGAACCAGTGGCTGGCCCATCTGGTATCAAATCACGTAAACTACTCTCAAATGTACCCACAAGGAGAGATGAGGTGAGGAATAAATTCAGGAGCAGGGAATTGCTTAATGGACACAAGGACTCTGACAGTGAGGAATCTACCAGTGGATATTCTTCAGTGCCCAGGATAGGGAGTAAAGACAATGTCTGTCATAGTCAAGAGAGTTCCAAACAGACCTCTCCTCTAGAGAATCCCAATAATTCCAGGTCTCTGTTTCAAAATCCAAGTGAGTCTTTACTTTTAGTATGAATATAATGAAATCTTCTAATATGAAGTGGATGTTCTGATAGATTTTCCATAATAGACTTTTACAGTTTGGATCAGATGTACCTACATACTAGACTTATGTTCATTTTACAGTATCAGATTTAGTTACTGAAAGCAATAAGTTGTATTGAAACATTCTAATTCGCCAACATGCATTTTTCCATTTCCCAAATTATGGAATTCATGAAAATTATCAAATTAATTGTTACTGATCAATACCTTAGAATCACCTTTTTAGGGAGAAATACATTATTTCTCAATGTTTTAATACACAAATTATAAAAGTTTAAGGCTTTTTGGACTGGATACCACTCTTGCATGAGTCAAAAATTAATTTACCTTAATCAGAATCCAACCAAAATTCATATGTAGAATATTTTATTCACATTGATAGGGACTAGGAAAAAGAGTGACATCTTTTCTCCAAGCATTGACATTCTTAGAGCTGGGATGTATTACAATGAAATGAATAGACCATGTCAGTATCTTTTTACTCAAGATTGTGATTGACACAGGTGCCATTCAATGAGTTACATTGTTTTTACTTTCCTTTGGGATATAAATTATTTGGTTGAAATCTGCAGTCAGCTTTCCTACTATAAGACTATTAGCACTGCATCTTCCCACTCTCTATTATGTTCTAAGTTTGTAAACTTAAATATACTTCTTGAAATTATTTACTTATACCAGTAACATAAAACTTGAAGTAAGGTGAAGTAAAGAGATACAGAAAAATATAGCACATCCTCTCTGTGGTTTACCCTATGACATTAATGGAAATGGTGAGTAATCATATAATAAATAATAGTACCCCTAACATTATTTGAGAAATCTGGTCTTAATAGAAGTCATGGCCAAACTCTATAGTCCAATCAATTTGCTCCTCAATCCTATTACATTTATATATATATATATATATCATTGTAGTGCTTCATATTAGTGAGTATTCCTTTTTTCAATATAACACATAATTTCCATATTGGCACTCTTTCATTTTGATAGCAAACAAGAATTTAAGCAGAACTTGATCATTTTAGTTTAATTACCACTAAATTTATTGATAAAAACTGAGATATTTTATTGCCAGGAACCACATTCATTCTGAAACTGGCATGATAAACTACATATTTATATAATATCTCATGTTGATTTCATTTCTGAATAATCATGTCATGTCACATATTTTTCAATCATATTGTCCTAAGCAGGTATTTTTTAAAATTGGGTAGTGAAATATAAAATTATTCTGAGCATGTATACTTTAAGATTGATTTTATATCTTCTTACATCATGTATATTCTTCAATAATTCATTTCATAATGAATTGTATAAAATTATTCCATTGTGAAATACAGATTGTTTGCCAATGTTTGACTTGCATGTATTCAATATCAAGTAATTCAGTGATTGTCTAGTCACTTAACTATGGACTCTTTTGACTTCATTAAAAGTCAAATTTGATATTTTCCATTTATTCCCGGCAAAATGATTGAAACAACATATTATTATTTTGAGATTATGTAACAAAATCAGGTTTCAGACATTGTCTAGGTTTGTATGAATTTACCATTGGTTCTAGAAAATGGAGATGAAAAATTCACTTAATGGATGAGCAGTGTAATGGATGGGTATCCAGTCAGAGACTTGGATTGATCTGAACATTTATCAACTGAACTCAATGTCTGAATAATAATACTCATATAATACTTGAGTTGCACCTAAATGTACATTATATTCTTTTCCTAAGTAGAGTAATCAATGCATTTCTGCATTTGATAATATTCTTGGTTTTTCTAAGAGTGGGCACTGAGTGTTCATGTAGGGCACATACTGTGGGATTTCTTTGGAAGAAGAATTCCTGTAGAATCTCAATTTGCTGACATTGGCTCTAAAGTTTTTGACCAAATCTTCAGGCAAGTTTATTCAGGTTGGTCACCATGGAAGTCATCATGTAGCAATTTATTTGGAGTATTGTGGAGAAGATGGGCTGTCGAATTTTTGTGATTGTTTTGATTTCCAATATATCGTTTATTTAGTCATGAAAACTAATACATTGTACATAAAACACAGAAATATGTCAAACAGCATCACTACATACATAGTAAACAATAAAAATAAAATAAAATAGAATCAATCATGCATATTAGAGATTACTTTGCTCCCAACAAATGTTTTTTCAGAGTGATTTTGAAACAATTGGGGAGTATGCACTTTTGATTGCAGTTGGCAATTTGCTGACTGTTGGGTGATTACCATTGGGGGTGGGCGATAGAGATTTTGGATTATCGATTATCGATAATAACATTGAATCGATATTATCGAAGTTATCAAATTATCGATAAATCCATAATTTTTTATGAATTTTCGATGTAATTGATATTTCTGGCATGAAGTACCCGAAACGGAACATTGCGCGTGCTATGGGTAGAAAGCGAAATATATACTACATTCCAAATAAGAAGATAGTAGGTGGCGCTTCTTCTGAAGGAATGTTGGTGGAATTTCAATGTAAGAAAAATAAACATCTTTCCATAAAGAAAACTTCAACAGTTACGCCACGTCGTAAGTCATAATATTAAGATATTAGGCAAGTATAATATAGCCTCCGATATTAACCAATGAAAGCGAAGGTCAACGCTTCTCTGTGACTTCCAATGCTGTCTTCTTAGTTGGAATGGACTATAGGAGTGGGCGATTACAATTAACTATCAACGAATATTTCGAAAATGATCGAAAATCATCGATATTATCGATAAATCTATATTATCGATATTATCGATATTTCTGGCATTAAGTACCCGAAAAGGAACATTGTGCTTGCTATGAGTCTGAATTTGTATGAATATATCGATAAATTTGCCCATCCCTACTTATCATATTGTTGTTGACATCGAATGTTGTGATGTGCCTTAAAAACATTGCTATGACGTTTAGGAAAAAACTCCAGTACAAACTTTTGTTTCCTGAGAGATAAAAAGTACCACTTTAGTCCCTCAAATGAGTGATTAAAAGTATCCTTTTATTCCCTTAAAGTGCATAAACTAACGTTTTTCATACCATTAAACACTCGCACCTTTATAATTCGTTGAACTTTTCAACATTTTCATTGAAATTTGAATTGTCCCGATTTTTAGGTGATTGTCCAGCATTTTCAACTACTTTATCCTGGGAGAGAATGAATCATGATTCATGAATGATTATAGCCAGACAATTATTTCGAGATGAACTATAACATCTGACAACTAAGTATTTTATTCACTTATTTGTGACGTCAGTAGTTGAGAGTGACAAGCAACAGTGTGGGGATAAATTAAAAAATGAAAAAAATAAATTTTTAGGAAACGCGTCGTTTTGTGTGACATGGGATTAGCATGACAGTTACACAAAAAGCGTTTCCTAACGTGTTATGTACAATATTTTCTCTAAATTTGTACAAAATTTAGTAATCGAGTTGACTTCGCCGGTCAGTTTGAAGTATCAGTCAAACAATAAATAGGTCACAAATCAGCTACGAAATTCACGAAATAGACTCGTTTGATTCTTTTAATACTAGAAAATGGCTAATTAAAGTTCACATTTCCCAAATGATGTCGAGGAAGCAGCATAAAATGCACTATTCTCTTCATCCATACTTTTATTACGTAACTGGTGTTGAAATGAACTTTTCATCAGGAGTCATATTTATACACTGTTGTTGGCTTTTGTTGTGCTATACTTTCGAAAAATAAGTCAATAACACCGTCTCCGATTAAGAACTCTGCAAGTCCTTTTATCCTCCATTCGACTTCGCGGTTACGAAAATTACTAAACAACCACTAAATTCGCAATTTTTCAAAATCAATTCACAGAATTAGACTGACAGATATTTGATCACTTCAAAAGAATGATAAAGATGCCTGCAATGCAGGTGTCATTCCTGTTGATAACTTGAAATTTTTCGTCGATAATTTTCTGATTTTAATATAATGTTATATCTTCTCAATATCGATTCGTCCTTTTTCCTGTCATAGAAATTGAAATATTGCATACACGGTTTTTTGTTTCCCTCCGCTATGCGTCTGGAGACAACACAACCTGGAGCTAAAATCTACAACTTGTTTCCCTTGTATAATAAATAACTATTTTTCAACAGTTGCTTTTGTTTGCCATGATTATTATTATATTGTATATAGGGGGTTTCACTGTTGTGTATTTATTTTATGTACAAGGTGTGCAACGTCGATTAAAACAGGGAATATCTAGGAACTCGAGAGCAGTTGAAAATTGTAATTTTAGGGTTATAAATTGAAGCAATTGGTGCAGCTTTTTTTTATATAATGTTACCCAATGGGCTGTTTGTTTTCGTTCACGAGATATCAGATTATTAATGGGCTATATTTTAGCATCTCTATGTTCCTTCATATGAAACTATTCCAACAAACTATTGCACTTGTGGTCTAACAAGTTACTTCAACGTTTGTCGTAATCGTCTTGGGACAAAGGACATTAAGGTACCTGTAATTCTTGAATTAATTGTTTTAGACCACAAGTGTGATATTTTGTTGAAACCGTTTTATCAGGAGGATCATAGACATGCCAAAATATACAGTTTGTCTCATTAATAATTTTGAATCTGATGTTACGTGACCGAAAACGAACAGCTCATTGGGTAACATAAAAAAAAAGCTTCAGCAATTGCTTGAAATGACAACCCCAAATTTACAATTTTCTACTACTCCGAGATATTCCTTGTTTTAATCGTCGTGGGACACCCTAGTGTATTCATTTAATATTATAACTACCGAAGATAAATTCAAAGAGTCCATGTGGTATTATATAGATATGAATGATAGATCTGCTCACCACAGAGGTTAAGAGTACATCACCGCAGTATCATTTATACGTATAACACGGTCACGCAAATTCGAAATTTCTCGAAAACGGTTGAAGATATCGATTTGAAACAAAAACAGGCCATTAGATCACACCTGAATCTATGTACGTCCTGTAATGGAATTTTGAATTTCCTCAAATTTTTTCCATTATGATTCGAAACATTCCACCAAAATCAAGCTACTTCGAGGCCGATTTTTGAAATTTGGGTAGGAAATTTCAAAAAAGCCTTACAGCACGTACGTAGATTGGACTTTTATCTTTCATTTGATACCATAATCCTTGAAATTGGACGAAGGATGCTTTTGAATCTATGTTGAATAAAAAAGCCCTGCAGCTTCCTAAATGACTTCAGAACGGCATTGGGGAGTGCTGCCGCCGCGGTCATTTCAAGTATTAGCTGTCCCACCACAAGCAAAATTGAATAGACAGGGTCGAACGCGCCTAATGGGTATCCAGGTATAAATTCCTTCATCCATTATTCCATGGTTACCTAATATCACTAAGAGACAGTTTCTTCCAAAGTAGATAGTTGTGCATAGCTCGTGTTTATAGTTCTCCTTGAGATAAGTGGACAATTATTGTGATAAGTGAAAATGGAAAGTAGAAAGGCACAGAAATGCCATTTTTGATTATAATAATAATAATAATAACAATAATGAAAATAATAATGATAAAAAAATTATCTGACCGACAGAGAACACAAAAAAAAACATGTTGAAATAGAAAATAAATAGAAGTTTGGAAAACTGCAGAAACACGCTTTTATTATAATACGATATATTGAACATTTTCAGTTATACTGAGGTTGGCAACCTAGTTGCCGGAATATGTTTTAGGCTTTACTAAATATCGATGTGGTATTTTGAATATATTTTTTATTTGGTTGAATTGATGAAGTTCTATTTCGCCTATAGAAAAGCCTATAAAATTCATCCATTTTATATCCACCTTCTATTGTTATTTGATTTTTCAGCTTTTTCTAGAATGATATTTTTCAAATAAAATAAAAAACTGACTTTCCTTTATCAGTCCTTCGAAAAGCAAGGATTACGAAGATATAATTGACAACGTGATTATCGAACCGGCAACATCTAGCCAATTGATGAGTAAAAGAACGTGATGGATATAAAATTGATTAATTTTATTGGCTTCTCTATTGGCGAAATAGTACTTCATCAATTCAACCAAATACAAAATATATCCAGAATACCACATCAATATTTAGTAAAGCCTGAAACATATTTCAACAAATGAGTTGCCTTCCTCAGTATGACTGAAAATGTTTATATCGTATTATAATAAAAGCGTGTTTCTGCCGTTTTTCAAACCACTATTCATTTTCTTCTCCTCTTTAGTTTGCTTGAATTCCCAAATTTTGACGAAAGGATCATAACCTCCGACCCCAAAAAGCTACAGGTAAAAATTTTGAATGAAATCGTATCATAATTACAAAACTGGTCCGCCATATTGGATCCGCTATCTTGAGTTTCCTAATTTTGACAAATGAACCCTAATCTCCGACTTCGAAAACCGCCATCAGATACAGATTTTGAATAGAATCGGACCATAATTACAAAATTCGTCCGCCATCTTGAATTTTCAAATTTTGACGAGAATCATAATCTCCGTCCCCGAAACCCTTAGATATCAATTCAAAATGGCGGACAGACGGAACCAATATGGCGGACGAGTTATGTAATCATGGTCCTGTTCTATTCAAAATTTGTACCTGTGGTTTTCGGGATCGGAGATCATTTTTCATCTTTTGGAGCGCACGAAAGGAATAATATAATACTCGTGGAACATCGTGCGTACCTAGGGAGGATAGGGAGAGGATGTAGGTGTTGGATTTTTTCGAACTTTTGTGATTTGTGTGAAAACAGCAGCCGCAGTTGGCAGCCACTTCGCCATAGATGCGCGATTATATACCTCACGCCCAAAGAAAGAAGATGCACGAAGGAATGATAGCAGCCATTTTAATCCTATAAAAACGATCGTATACACGAGAATTCTTGTAATATTTTCAACCATATTATATCGAATTACAATACATATCGATCGGAGAGACAAAATGTGATATACTGCCTGATTATGAACTCATTAACCCCCCCGTCAAAATGATGAAAAAATATTGAAAATCATTACTTTTTCGATTATTTGTTGTATAACTCAGAAAGGAGTTTTCTTTCTCAAATCGATCAGGGAAAGGATGAGAACTATATTTCCTTATGCGAAACTCATTGCCCCCCCCCCGTCAAAATGATGAGAAAATTTTAAAAATCATAATTTTTTCTATAATTTGTTGTATAACTCAGAAAGGCTATCGTGTGCACAAAGTTATCTTTCTCAAATCGATCAAGGATGGGATAGAGAATATATTGCTTGATTCGAAACTCATTGGCCCCCTGTCAAAATGATGAAAAAATATTCATATCATTATATTTGCGAATATTTGTTGCATAACTCAGAAAGGCTATCTTGTGCACAAATTTTCCTATCTCAAATCGATCAGGGAGGGGAACTTTGTGCACGCGATAGCCTTTCTGAGTTATACAACAAATAATCGAAAAAATAATGATTTTTAATATTTTTTCATCATTTTGACGGGGAACCAATGAGTTTCGATTTAATAAAAATATTCTCTATCCCCTCCTTGACCGATTTGAGAAAGAAAACTTTGTGCACACTATAGCCTTTCTGAGTTATACAACAAATAATCGAAAAAATAATGATTTCTAATATTTTTCTGAAATCTAAAAATCTTAAAATTTCCATTAAAAAAAAACAAAGTTATTTGAATTATCTCGAAAACGTAGGAAGATATATTTCATTGTTCTATTTTTTATCAAAAGTTCTTGAAAAAGTGCTCAGGAAATATCAAAGCCAGAATGCCGTAAGTTTTCAAATAACGGAGATACAGGGGATTGTCTAAAACGCACCATTTTGGTTTTTCGCAATTATTTCAAAATCATAAAACGATCGAAAAAATCTGATGACAATTCTGAGATAGTAATAGAATTCTGAGAAACATTGCTCATTCGAACGTTTGCCGGGTCAGCTATAAATTATATTCTAATGAATGGCTGAGTTTCTGAAATAATACAATTGTATCCAATATCCAAATAAATATAAATAGCGTTTCATTTCACCCTAAAATGCCCTATGCTTTCAATTTTATAACCGTACTGCGCCAAGCTGTTCTAAAAATAGATAAGATGAGACAAGTAAAATGAAAATAATGAAATGTTTGAGTATTCTGTGGCAGTGGCCAGCGAGCCAAATTACCACCTGAATACATGCTTGCAAATTCGCCGTGGAAGGGGTTGTGATGTCTCCGCCTACCGCCGTCACCCTCTCGCACCTCATTCCTCAGGTGATCCGCTAGCAGAATGAGTGAAATGGACTCTTAAAAAAAAAAGACTAATGAAACTGTTTTTCATTGGAATATTCCTGTATCTTTTCCATTCATTGAGCAAGACTAATCTCTAGGAGCGTCAGATATTCTATTTTTCGGCGAGCAGTGTGATATCACAGACGATGGATGATCCTACTTGTTGATTTTTCTTGCTCCTGAAAATTTCAGAATCCCACGATAATTCTGTCAGAACTGGGACAAAACTACACAACAACAATTGCATTCAAATCGTTGGGTTTTATCATAAGAAATAGGAAATCATTCAAAATTGAAACAATAATTATTAGACTCTATCATACATTAGTGATACCACATCTAGATTATGCAGCGCAAATCTGGATGCCTTCAGCACACACACATGTAGACCACATCGAGGAAGTGCAGAAGAGGTTCTTACGATACCTTTATGTTAGGAAAAACAATTTTTACCCATATATGGTCCCATATAAGTACATGCTGGAAACATTTGAATTCACGAGTTTGTTGGGCAGAAGAAATAAACATGCAGTGCTATTCATATACTATCTATTAAATTATATAAAGTACAAAAATTGTGATTTAATTAAGTATATAGACATAAACGGTCCTAAAATCAATTTGAGAATCAGAAATTATGATATTTTCAGGGTAGATCTAGTCAGCACATCACCAATAAATAAAATGATATCAATATGCAATCAAGAGCTCAAGCAGACACACATAGATATATTTAACACAAACGTGAAAGAGCTACAAAAAAAAAGACGTATGAAACTATCAAACACTTCCTGCCTGTGACTGCTTGTGCCTTACCTAGTTATAAGTTCAGTTGTAATGTTGTAAATGTCTTCTGTATACTACCATTACCTGCAATTACCTATCGGTGTTTGTAAACAATGCTTGAATTACTTACGCAAAACAGGCTGTAGCCTATGGTGTAGGCAGAGAAATGCAAATTTTTTACAGACTACTCAAATTTATAATTTCAAAAATTCATTATGCCTGTTGGAAAAAAAGTATGGCAAAAATTAAAAAAACAAAATTTTATGAATAATATGTATTCTCATTTTTTTCAGATACCTCGACGAATCGCTCACTATTTACTGATAGGGCATTGAGCCCCAACATGAATACATCAATGACGACAAGGAGGCCTAGCTTCAATGCCTCAACCTTTGGTTCCCCCAATTTCATTGATAGAACCATAGCCACTGAAAAAATCATCAATTCACCATTCTATAGTGGAAGAACTATATATGGCGGCGCTTCAGCTTATGGCAGAAGACTGGGAAGGAGTGCCAGGGATCTCAGAACTTCCCTGAAAAGACCTGTGCAGATTAAACCAGTTAACAAAACTAACGAAACTGGAAATCTGACTCTAGGAAAAACTGCTAGAAGGATACTGGAGACTTTGGAGCAGTATAGTTCACCAATTAACGATGCGAAAAAGATACCAGTTGCCTCTAAAAGGTTCAAATCTGATGGTTTACTCACCAGTCATGTAGGTGCTAGTCCATACTTGCATAATAGTGGGGATACAATATCGAAAAAAAGGGAGCTTCAAATACCAACAGTGTCTGATTTGCTCAAAATGAAGCAAAAAACAAGGTTGCAAAACAGCACTGAAACAGTCAGGCAGATTGCTATCTCCTCCAAGTCCAATTTGAACTCAGAACAGAACCTTTTTAGTGAGAAACCGCCTACTAGAGAATCTGACAGTACAACAGATATCCAACAGCAACAGAAAAAGGTGGAATCTGTCAAACCCAACCCTAACCCCACAAGTCTTCCCACAACCAATTTACCTAAATTTGATTTCTTCAAAACACCCCAGTCTGTAGATAAACCACTGAAGAATATGTCACCGAAAGTAGCCCCTCTGCAAACTACAATAATTGTCGACACTCCTCCAAAAGTAACAATAGAGACTGAGAATAATGTACAAAAGAAAAATAGCGATTCTGCATTGTTCAGGTTCTCCGCTCCTCTTGTAATAGCGGAAAATATGAAATCTATCGTAGCAATTAACAATTTCAAATTCAGCAAACCACTTGTAAACCTCAAAAAAACGAACAGTTCTAATGATAAAGGGACTGATACTACTAGTAATAAGAACGGCCTAGAGATGGCTCCTAAAATGATTGCAAGTCCAGCAAAGGAGCAGGAAAAAAGTGCTGCCATTAAGAATAGTGGTATTGGTGTTAAGAGTGCCAACCAATGGGAATGCAGTGTATGCATGGTCCGTAACAATGACAAGGATTCAAAATGTGTATGTTGTACTGCTAGTAAGCCTTCAGCGCAGAAAACTGAGGTGGCACCCATTAATAACATACCATCCTCTTTTGGAGATAAATTCAGGCTACCGACTAGTATGTGGGAATGCTCAGTTTGCATGGTCAGAAATGAGAATGCAAAGACAAAGTGCAGTGCATGTGAGACACCAAATCTTAAAGGTGTTTCAAATCAGTCATCATCTAAGAGTTCTAGTTTCATGACAAAATTCCAACCTCCTGCTAGTACTTGGGAATGTACCACTTGTTTAATAAGGAATAAGAATGAAGTTGTCAAATGTGTTGCTTGCGAGACTCCCAGGATAGGTATGCCAGTGGCTTTCAATAGTTTGAGTGCCACTTTCAAGAAAAAAGAGGACGAATGGGAATGCCAAGTCTGTATGGTCAGAAATAAGACGACAAATGTCAAATGTCAATGTTGTGAATCTCTGAAACCAGGCAGTAACCCGAAAAACGGGCCAGTGTCTGAGAGCGATGAAAAACCAATACCGAAGTTCAACTTTGGGATTGATAAAGCTGCAGCTGCATCATTCTCATTTGGGGTACCATCCTCGACATCAATTACTTTGCCAAAGCCTGTAGTGGATCCTGCTATAGTTTTTGGAGAGAACGCCAAAAAAACGGCACCTGTAGCTAGTTTCTCGTTTGGGGTAAAGCCAGAGGCACAGAGTCAAAAGACGACTGTTGTAGTACCACCAAAGATTGCCGAGCCGGTGGATAAGGTCCCAGAAAAAAGCGATGCTTCAGCCGCAGTGGCTAGTTTCCAATTTGGTGGCGTGAAACCAACTACAACTCAAAGTGCTCCTCTGATAAACAAAAAAGTCGAAGCTATTGCTAAACCCGTTGAGATTCCTGCTACTACTGCAGCTGTTCCTAAACCGACATTCAACTTCAGCGTAGCTGCATCTAGCAGTGAAAAGTCAACAAATAAAGCAGACACCACTGCCGGAGATACGCCAAAGCTGTTCAGTTTTGGATCAAAACCTTCGGTTAACATAGCAGCCAAAGTGACTCCAGCAGCTGGACTTGGTGTTATTCAGAGTACTCCAGTCAGTCAACCTCCTGCAGCTGTTACTAGCCAAAATACAATATCTAAGCCTGGCGGTTTCTCATTTGGCGTTAACAAAACTAGCGCTGATTCATCTTCTAGCTCGATTTTTGGTGCCACTACAACGACTACAAACAACAGTTTTGCTGCTGCCAATGCTAACAGTTTCGGTAGTCCCAAGGCTGTTGTTACACCAGCTCCCAAGACTAGTTCTGATGTCAACGGTAAGGTTCTAGTTTTATATTATGTATTGAATAAATCAGATTTCAATTGAATGAAAATAAAAGCCTATTGAGATAAAATGATACTAAATACTGTCTGTAGGTTAATCAAGGAGGTTGTACATTCATTATTCCAAATTTTTTGGGATTTTCTCTCCTCGTTTCTATAAAATAAAAATATGAATATTATTTCAATATACGTGTAGTAAGGACAAATCAGATGATTTGCCCCAAAATGTCACTGTGTTTAAATAATTTTCCTATCAGAGAGCCTAAAAGAAAAATTCACTAGCTTGTCAGTGACAATTTGTATTGAAAAATTTTTGGAGAAGAGAAATAAAGGTATATAGAAAAAATATCAAATTTTCACTTATCTTTGGACGTTTCGGGACCGATTCTGCTCCCATTTTCAACATGAAGAGATTTTTTCAATTGCGAAGTCGTATAATATGTCTTGAAGCTTTTCAGTTTTCAATGACAATTGGTGACGTTGGCAATCAGAGGAGTTACAGATTAATTAATGAAAACATCCTGTAACTCCTTTGATTGCCAACGTCACCCATTGAAAACTGAAAAGCTTCAAGACATATTATACGACTTCGCAATTGAAAAAAACTCTTCATGTTGAAAACGGGAGCAGAATCGGACCCGAAACGTCCAAAGATAAGTGAAAATTTGATATTTTTTCTATATACCTTTATTTCTCTTCTCCAAAAATTTGTCAATACAAATTGTCACTGACAAGCTAGTGAATTTTTCTTTTAGGCTCTCTGATAGGAAAATTCTTTAAACGCAGGGACATTTTGGGGCAAATCATCTGATTTGTCCTTACTACATGTATATTGAAATAATATTCATATTTTTATTTTATAGAAACGAGGAGAGAAAATCCCAAAAAATTTGGAATAATAAAATGATACTAATTTAGAATTCAATGTTATTTTGTTTTACTATGCAATTGGTATTTTTTTGAAGATGTTTTCTGGTATGATTAGTAGACCTATACTAATTTATGGGAGTTCTTTCAAGACAGTGTTCCCTGTTGTCTCCCACCTACTATACAGAGTGATTTCCGTGGTGATTTAAGTAGGCCACATTTGATGAGAATTAATAAAAAAGAAATTGTATTCTACAAAGTAATATAAAATGGAAATGTGTCTCATTGGTTTATTATTCTACATGGTTGCCGAAAAAATGGTGTATGCAACACGTCCAAAAACTCTTTTTTTGGACTTGCAGAATTCCAGGTCTCGCCTACGGCTTGGCCTAGAATTTTGTCTACTCGTCCAAAAAAACAGTATTTTCCGGACTTTTTACGTAAATTACTATTCTTTGGTGACTCTCTGAGACTGTTGTCAACTGATGAAATGCTTTTATCTATCAGCCTCCACACCAGTCCCATCTTTCGGAAGTGTGCCAATACCATTCGGGAATACAGGCAAACCCGCCTTCGAGTCGCCCTCCTTCTCGTTCGGGGGCGCCGCACCTCCCAGTAACGAGCCCCCAGCGAAGGCCCCCATGGGCGCCATGTTCTCCTTCGGACAATCGAGCTTCGGCGCCGCCAATTCCAGTACGCCCTCCTTCAATTTCGCCGCCTCCAAGGCGACAGAAGCCCCTTCGAGTAGCATTTTCGGTGCTGCTGCCCCCGCGGCATTGCTTGCCCCCAGCAATGCGGAGGCGACGAGTAGGGTGTTCAATTTCGGGGCGAGCTCGCAGAACAACAACACTCAGAAGGCGGGATTCAGTTTTGGAACTCCCGTTAATAATAACGCTGCACCTGTGCCTACCAACTCTGGATTCAATTTTGGAGCAGCAGCAGCTCCAGTGGTAAGTGCCCTGCCATGCTAAGCTCAGAGGCGGTAACTGCATATTTTACGGAAAAACAGTTTTGCGCATTTCTGAATAGTTGTAGGGATTTAGAACTGATTTGTTATGGTATTATAGCAGTACAAATGGTAAATTTCGAATAAAAATACGTTTTCGTTAGAGGTATCTGCAATGTGACTCAGTATTTCGCAGTTGCCGCGGAAACGCCTTATGAGTACCGCGACCAAGAGTAGAAGCCGCTTATAAGGTGGCAATTGAAAATTTAAAAGCCAAAATGATAGATATGCGTATTGATGATTTCTCATTATGGAAAGATCATTTGAAGAAATATAAATGTAAGGATTCAGAAAAGGTGTATTTACATGACATTGTACAATTGTCTGCAGACAAAAGGAAATTTATTTAAAAGTTACCGATCTGATTTTGAGAAACCTGTTTACCCTTGGATTACCTCAAGAAAAATATACTGAAATCAGGAAGAATTCCTTCACCAGAATCTATCTTACGTCCGAGAGGAATTTCTGAACGGCGAGATGGTATCCTCAAGTTAATTCGTACTAACATTAATAGCACTGGAAATAACAAAATAATTCCTGCAAACAGATTAGAATGTTGACAAACAATTCCACTTTCAGGCAATGATGCATCTGTTGAAGACGAAAAGGAGATTTGGTCCGCTCACTCATATTATGCCCTTTTATAAAACATAAAAATTAAATTGTTTTTGTTTTCAATAATATATCTGAGCAGCTGAGTCTTTCATTACATTAAGATGAGACGAAAACCAACAAATCAATCAACATTAATAATAATTACCACTGAATGGCTTAGTGCTGCGTTGAGTTTCATCAGCATGAAATAGGGGTATCTACTGTTTTTTTCATAAATATATGTTTTTCGTTTTTTTATAGTCAGTGTGATTGAGGAACGTTTAATCACTTATCATGAAACCATCCCATTTGAAGGTAATCATTTTACATGTACAAAAATAATATTATGAAGATTTGATATTCATTTTCACAGATTTCAGTTGAATGTGAGTACCGCCGATGGGCCTAGCACGTGATCTTGGGACAGACAGTTTCATACTCTATTTAAAATTAATTTTGATATAGAATAGTACCTCACATAGATACATGCAACAACAAATATAGGCTATAAAATCAAGCTCCAACAGGCAGCGGGCGATCGCCGGACGGACCAGTCCGGCCCTGTTGAATACCATCATCATCTTAGTGTTTCAATTGCTGTTTCTTATTCCTTTGCCGGTCAATTGAATATCATGAATTTTGACACAATAGTGTATTGTTTCAATGGAGGAAAATTACTCGAAGGGCTGTATGTGAAACTATGACAAGACACTAAAGTTTTCAAAAAGAGTTAATTCTCGTCTTGGTTGAAGCAATAGTATAACAAGCCACTACAAAATGATTACCGGCCTTTGTTAATAAATGGCTCGAAAAACCTATGGTCACACTATTGCATAGGTCTAATTTTTCTCTAGCTACTACCCGACATAATGACAAGCCACACCAAATGGCCGATACGAGCGGAAACTGTTCCAATAATGCTGTGACTTCTGAGGTATCTAGCAAGATAAATAGTGAAGTTTAGTCGACATTCAAAGACAGTGACCATTACCCTAACATATAATATAGAAGTGACTCAAGTGATGAAAATACAGCAGTATGTATTTTTCCCAAATGTGGCTTGTCACATCATTACCATCTGAAAATAAATCAAAATAACTATTATTGTAGTGGCATGTCACGTGGCATGTTATATTATTGCATTTTGTTGTACGTGAATGAATAAATAAAAGGAAAAAAAAAACAACACATCCGAAGATATTCCAACAAGTTGATGGAGACAAAGAAATTGATGGTGTTATTCTCATGTTTGACGTAATTTTATCAATATTCTTGTTTACTATAGTCCCATAGAGCATGAAGCATCCACCTATATAAGACTAAAACAATGGAAGTTGTTACTGGATTTTATATAGTTTTTTCTACAATCAAAGTTGAATATCTCATTTCCACCTTTCTGAGGCTTGTCATATTGTATCACATTGATCCCTTCATTTAAGTTTCAAATAAGTTCTCCCTTCAACCTCAGAAAAATTAAACAATGAAGAATATAATTGAATACGATTTCATATCACTATCAGTGATCATTTTCAAGCATCTGAATCTACTCTCTAACCTTTCCACGTTCTGTTCTACAAGTGTGCATTTTAATATAATAGTTTCTTACAATGTTGTTCTGTTTTTTCTAGCCTAAGCCAGCTGCTGGTGGTTTCAATTTTTCAGCAGTGGCAAATTTTGATGGAAATGTCAAACCATCATTCAACTTTTCTGATGCACCTGTAACTGCTTTTACGTAAGTACTAAAAATCACAGTCGTCGAATCCATACTCAATCCACAAGTTTGAATGAATTGTTATAGATTGTCTTCTGGTATGCTATCATTTTCATTTGAGTCCTAATGGCTTTGAAGTCCATATTTTTAATTTGCCAATTTCTAAATTTTAATGAAATAAATACGCCAGAAATTGTTGTGTCACCTGAATAGGATCCCTGTAACATGGATGTTTTCTTGAAAAATTCTTTTTTTTTTTATTCTAATAGAACTCTAATGACCACATATAATCACGATATTTATTTGACATAGTTGAAAACAAATGACACCCAACCAATATTTTAGCTGGTGAATGTATGTATCCTTACAAACAGACAACGGTTTATAGCGTTTTTCCTTATTACACCCTCACCCTCCAGCAATAAACAGAAGACAATCATTCTTGCCAATAAGTGTATTTCAAATATACAGGGTGAATCTGAAAGTGAGTTTTTTTTTATTTAACAGGGTATATATCTTGCCAAAATGAGTTGTTTGGCCAAAAATATTTATTTCAAAATGTAAGATAACAAACAGTTTGGTTTGAAACGAAAATCAATAGGTTGATAAATAAAAAGAGGATTCTAATTAATTTTACTGATGAAATATTGCAACTGTAGGGTTCTAACGCTGGACTTATCTTGGCTTTTTGCGTTTTTTTAAAAAATATAAACAAAATGTTCAGTAGTTGGAGTCTTCTTTAAATCTTTGAGTACCTGTACCTCTGTTTTCTTGAATATTGTATATCAGCAATTTTTGCAACTTATTGTGATGAGATATAAATTCAGTTTGAAAATAAACCTCACTTTCAGATTCGCCCTGTATTACGAAAAACATTTTTTAAGGCTCATACCAAATTTCAACCAAATCGGTCTAGTACTTTCTAAAAATAATGAAACATAAGATTGTGGGTCCTATAGACACAAAGAGGCCAAAGAGGGGAGACATAACATCAGTTGAAAAGAGATAGCTTGACAAAATAGCAACGACCTTAACAAAATTGCAACGCTGTAAACTGTTCGTCAATGTTCACACTTGTATTTACCAGTCATGTTTGTTACGGGAGGGGCAAGACTACAATGACAACGCTATTATACCTATTAGAAGATGTTTGAGTCTAATCTCTCAATCATCATTCATAGCAATTCAAAGAGAAGAAACGTTTTTTGCAATGATTTAGTTAAATAACCTGTGATAACTACACCGCTGTTCAAGTTGAAAGAAGCACAACCTTACTTATCTTAGAATTACCAATTTGGGGTTTGAATGGTGAAACTTTTTTACGATCCACGCACTGGCGAGCCATAGATTATTAATAATTGTTTTTATATAGTTTTATAACATGAAAACACTGGAAATCAATTGAAACATAAAAAGTCCTTCTTCTTCTCTTTGGTTTCTTGGATTTCTGTCTCTTTTCGGTTATAATTTCTCGATATCAGCTGATACATTTTTTTAAAGATTAAATACTTTCTCATGTCTTATCACAATGGCCTGAAGTCGAGTCATCAGTGTTCATAAGATACGATCGTATGTACTCCTCTTTTCTAACCAATCCGTTGTTGATCCGGTATGGTTTCGTTTGACTTCAAGAGCGACCCCCTTATCCGATGAATCTTTCATCATCCGGCCTCTATACTGGCGTAGAGATAAAAGGGCCTGATATTTTTCACACACTTTTGTGACTTGCACACACATCAACCTGACTGTAGACGCCATGTTTCTCCTACCGTTGCCAAACGGCGAATCCTGAAATGGTAACAAGCACAGCACAACAACTCTGTAATGTCGGCTTTTGATATAAGTTATTGACTTGAAGAATAATATTCGTAACTCGTAGTAAACACGACAATACAGCGTTGCCATGGTTATTTTCATAATACATTATAATTTTATTGAATGATGACATTTGTAAAATTCACATATTTCGTAGCATGTCAGCCCAGTCCTCCCGTTTGATTGCATGAATCCAATCTTTCATTATTTTAGAAATTTCACGAGTATTTCTATTATTTCCTATTGCGGAAGGAATTCCGATGAGAAATCAGAGAAATTACCAAATTTCAAATATGAAAACTATATGTGAGTGACTCTAATTATAGTAGGTACTTACTTTTAAATTATAATGTATCATCATCATTCCTTCGTCTCTCGCTGCATTCTTTGTGCATTGTACAACAGCACAATGTGATGGCATGCGCGATTTAATGAATAGCCGGAAAACACGATTGTAAACAAACAAGAAAAGTGAGGTTGTGTTTCAATGTTTCACCTCCAGGGTCGGTCATCTGACAGTTCTTGCACGCAACCCATAAGGAAACCATCCTAACCTTCTTTATTTTGAGGTTAGGTCTTCTATAAAAAACTCAATCGTTTCCTTCAGAAAATATAGGATATTGAAAAATGGTGAAATTATGAATGGTCTGTTTCATGTTTCGGAAACTGTAGTCTCAATATTTTTCTTTCTTCTATCTTCAGAGCTCAACCATCAGCAGATAGTGGGGTCGCCCCACCAAGGAAAATAAAGAGGGCAGTCCGCAGAACGCAACGATAGTTTGCCAAACTTGTAAATAAACATGGACATAATTTAGTATTGTTTAGCGTCATGATGTTTGTGAGATGTGAGTGTTAGCTTAAGCCATTCAACTATCATACAACAATATGGTAATCCTACAAATAACAAATAACGCGGGAGACAGTACACGGAAGGATCCATTCTAAGACCTATAAATGTTAGCTAGGTATTTTAATTTAAAAACAGACCGCCTGTGAAGATCGATCGTAGGGGCGTTCAGACCATTTGGCATTTTGTAATATAATATTGTTGAGTTATAGAAATTTATATGTGACACTCTGAACGTGCCGTGAGATATTCACAGACGAGTCGTATGGCTCCTATACATTGTAAACCTTAGTGGTAAGCATTCTGCATGGTCTGATCCATAGAATGTAGAATTTGAGGCGGTGCGGATATTGTTCCCTTTTTATGCTGATGTGTGATGGGATTTTTGTGAAAATGAATGAATTTTGTAGCATATACAAGTGATATGCGAATATGCCTTCCAAGGCGATTTTTACTGTGATATTCTTATGGGTCAGGCCCCATACCTATATGATATATTATTATAATAAATGATTATTCATGGTACACGGACAAAGCTGTTTGCTGGTGTTTTTTCCATGGTTTGAGTCGAAAGTTGGGAGGTTTGAAAGTATATGAGAAGATTGGATAATCGGGTTTTGATAATGGTAACGAAATGTTCTGAATAAAAAACCTAGTAGGTGGAATATAATATCTGCCTGTCAGTGGTTTACTGAGAAATGTCTATAACTCATTTGTTTCAACTGAATTCTTGTTGATTTGGACAATTTTAGGTAGAAGTTTTCATCTTGCTTTCTTTATAACTAATTATCCAGGAATAAAGAAGATTCTCTGAGTTTATTTCATGTTTGTGCTGTTGTGACTATCAGACGAATGGCAAATCAGATGTGAGGTTTTGATGTATGTGAGGAGAGTATGTTTCATCTAGTTACTACTTGTCTAATTTCAAGTGAGTTTTTGGTGTTTTGAAATAATTCAATGTTTGCTTTTTGTCTTTTATTTTGCTAAAGGGTGTCCCAATAAGAGCGCCGAATTTATATTAGCCGCCATTTTGTTGATTCCAGGTGTACGGCGATTTTTATTGACAGTTGCCACGTACAGACCACGCGATTATTTAAGAATATGGAGAAGTATTCGAACGAAAAACGGTTAATTATTGTAAAAAATGGGGAAAGTTCTGCAAAAACATTTTGTCAATCATTCCAATCAAGTTTTCGGTCGCAATAATGCGCCAAACGAACGAACAGTGAGGCGTTTAATTACAAATTTTGAGTCCATCAGCGTGAATTCAGTCTCAAATTTTGTAATTAAACGCCTCCCTATTCATTTGGCGCATTATTGCGACCGAAAACTACATCAAGTTTGTTTTCGCTGAACTTTCACCATTTTTGTACTGTGTTTTTACAATCATTATTGAACGTTGTTCGTTTAAATACTTCTCCATATTAAAAAATCGCGTGGTCTGTATGTTATAACTAAAAATAAAATCACCGTACAATTTGTATTAACGAAATGGCGGCAAATTTAAATTCGGCGCTCTTGTTGGGACACCCATTACAAGAGGTGTGAGAATTTTGTAACACCTTTCTCAACAATGACGTGAATTTGAGACAACATGCAATGACTTCAAACCAGCCAGCCTATTATTTATTTTATAATTATGAATAGATATTTTAATTTTTAGTGAGATGGCAGAATTACCAACAATATAAAGGTAAATAAGCAAGTCCTATTCTGTTTTAATGAAGTGCAGACGGTAATGTTTCCTGAAAGCAATGAGGAGTTTCCAGTTCCTACTCAAATTCAAATAGCATCATTAAAACCCAGCTATTTTATTAATAAGGGCGATTTTTCAAATTTAGATTCCAATGAACAGACAGGAACAGACAATATTATACCTCGCCTACTAGGTAGTACATACGAATTATTCTAAAACGGAATGACTTCAATATTATTTATAATGATTTGAAATGCGACTATTTTCACAAGGCGATTCAGTAGCAACTACCATGAATAAACGGACATGTTGACGATGCTAAATTGATAGTTCAAATAATTTTTTCCATGAAAATGTCTTCACTGAAATATAGGATGTTTAACGAAATAGTTCCATATGTTTTTACATAGTGAACCAATGCTTATGTTTTTCATCATATAGTTTTCACTATCTTAAAAATTTCGTCGGACTTTTCTAAAAAAAGAATAAAGAATGAATGATGAATGAGAAATAATCAAAAGACACTCATTATTATTATTCTTGAAATGATAAAAGATTATGTAGGAAGGCATACGATTTTGATAGGCATTATATTCGAAAATTATTAGGTACAAAATTCCATGAGCTCTGTTTTTTTATCGAACTATTATCCACCAAAAACTAATCGTTAATGAAATATTCGCAGCTATTCGGTATAGTAATCAACAAACACCTCCAAACGAATCCCAAAAAATCTATTCCCAAAGGTCTATCTACTAACCATTCGTTGAGTGAGGAAATAAAATGGTTGACTTTTACCTACATAGTTGAAGTTATGCTCTGGGTTCATGGTATTATTTCCCGAAAAATTGTTTCAGGGTGAGTATTTGATATGATATTATGAACTTAGTATTTACCATTAACATTTTTTTAGTTCATAAACTATCTGATAGATCTGAGAGGACTAGCACCTGTGGACTGAAAAGATAATATTTCCACAGGGTGGGAAACCTATTTTCTGGTTATGACTACTGGGTCCAAATTCAACCACTCCACTATACCTTGGTGATACATGAGGCGTGAATCAGTGTATGTAGAATTTTTGAATCATGGCTCCCTTCTCGAAAAATTTCAATGACCTCTGTCATTCATTCAGATTTGATGAAGTGTATTTTAGTGAGAAACGTCAAGGTGGCGCTCGATCTATAATATTTGTATGCTCTGTAGGCTGTGAAATCCAAATTCAGACCTGATTTCTTCTGGAAAAATGTTGGGCTGCTGCTCTTGTGTCACTTATTGGTATATTAACAGACCTAATCTGGACCTATAGTAATGCTAATGCGAAACAGATTCTCATTCATTTGTAAACGACCCGCCCTGAATAAGTTTCCAATTTTTTTCTTTTGAAAAGTAAAAAAAATAACGCTGAAAATCACATACATGGAACACATTCACCCCTGCACTTCAAGAAAACCCTATATTTCTCATATGTTTTTAGAGGTCACTGAGATGCTCGAGAATATGAGTAGATATACAGCATGTCTAACTTTAGTCCCCCTCCTCTATATCTCATCTATTAATCAAACGATTCTTGCCAAAATTGGACTGGTATGATAACTATCCATATCAGAGACACATTTTTGACAGTGCCGTGTGTTTTTATTGAAATAAAAAGGGGACGATTTTTCATGTCCTATTAGACATTTTTTCCTCATGGTTTTGAACCCTCATTGAATTTTCATGTAATTTCTATGGAGGGTTTCGAAAAAACAAGCACATTTAAACAGCATTTTTGCGTAGGTAAATAATTATTTCCTCGGAAACTGTGAGTTCAACAAATAGTAATTTTCCTAACAAGTGCGGAAAGTGATTCTTTCCCGCACGCGACTGCCGTTGACACGAACGACGCGAAGCGAGAACACTCTGAAAAAGTCCGCAGAACAAAACATACAAAGGTTGTAAAGTGGAACCTTTACACCATGGTCTACATTTCCAATGCTGCCAGAACTCGAGAAAGTTTTTTCTGATCAAAAATCAGTCATATTATGATACACTGGGACCTCATCTCGGGACGTTTTCGTGATTTCCATTGGAACAAAGATAAAAAGTCTCGCATTTCTTGAATTTCTTCTCTAGAACTCCACTTGAGCTGACTATTGGGAAGAACTGTTCTCATGTTTTGATGAGGACAATAAATGACGAAATAAGCACTATTGTGGAATATACAGGATGATAAGAAAATAGGACAAAATCACTAAAAAAAAATAAAAAATGGTGACTAAAACCATTCGATTCAGTATATTCATAAACGGCCTTCTTGATATCCATTATTTATATTAGACTATCAACTCGAGAGGTTTTCGAAAATTCGCCTCTTATTGAAATACAGGATGAAAATTTTCAATTCAAACTTGTTTCCTGATATCGATGATTCTTATCAACTGATTTCCAATATTTATTGCCCAAGTATGAGACACAGAGTATTGTTCAATGTACTGAGTGTTTCACAACTTATCTGACAAATTACGAACTCTAGAAAACAATAATGTTAGAAGAATGTGGTGACCAGCATTATCCCAAGATCTGAATTTGATTGAACGTGTGTGGAGCCGAATGAAACTTAACCTATCGAGAAGGCGAGAGGCATCCCAAAATAATGACAACCTTATCCAAGGTATATCAGAAGAATGGGAGGCAATATCAATAGACTTCATCAACAACCTCATAAAACCTATGCCAAACCGATTTCATGAGGTTTTGTTAAATCGGGGAGGCCCTACTAAGTACT